CTGTTATACTGGGAGTGGGATAATACTTAGTAAATATCCCTGTCATACCGGGAGTGGGAGAATACTTAGTAAATACCCCTGTCACACTGGGAGTGGGAGAATACTTAGTAAATATCCCTGTCACACTGAGAGTGGGATAATACTTAGTAAATATCCCTGTTATACTGGGAGTGGGATAATACTAAGTAAATATCCATGTTATACTGGGAGTGGGATAATACTTAGTAAATATCCCTGTCATACTGGGAGTGGGATAATACTTAGTAAATATCCCTGTCATACTGGGAGTGGAATAATACTTAGTAAATACCCCTGTCACACTGGGAGTGGGATAATAGTAAATATCCCTGTCATACTGGGAGTGGGAGAATACTTAGTAAATATCCCTGTTATACTGGGAGTGGGATAATACTTAGTAAATATCCTTGTTATACTGGGAGTGGGATAATACTAAGTAAATATCCCTGTCACACTGGGAGTGGGAGAATCCTAAGTAAATATCCCTGTTATACTGGGAGTGGGATAATCCTAAGTAAATATCCCTGTCACACTGGGAGTGGGATAATACTTAGTAAATATCCCTGTCATACTGGGAGTGGGATAATACTTAGTAAATATCCCTGTTATACTGGGAGTGGGATAATAGTAAATATCCCTGTCATACTGGGAGTGGGAGAATACTTAGTAAATATCCCTGTTATACTGGGAGTGGGAGAATACTTAGTAAATATCCTTGTTATACTGGGAGTGGGATAATACTTAGTAAATATCCTTGTTATACTGGGAGTGGGATAATACTTAGTAAATATCCCCGTAATACTGGGAGTGGGAGAATACTTAGTAAATATCCCTGTCACACTGGGAGTGGGATAATACTTAGTAAATATCCCTGTCATACTGGGAGTGGGATAAAACTTAGTAAATATCCCTGTTATACTGGGAGTGGGATAATACTAAGTAAATATCCCTGTCACACTGGGAAAGGGAGAATACTTAGTAAATATGCCTGTCACACTGGGAGTGGGAGAATACTTAGTAAATATCCCTGTCATACTGGGAGTGGGAGAATACTTAGTAAATACCCCTGTCATACTGGGAGTGGGATAATACTTAGTAAATATCCCTGTCATACTGGGAGTGGGAGAATACTTAGTAAATATCCCTGTCATACTGGGAGTGGGAGAATACTTAGTAAATATCCCTGTCATACTGGGAGTGGGAGAATACTTAGTAAATACCGCTGTCACACTGGGAGTGGGAGAATACTTAGTAAATATCCCTGTTATACTGGGAGTGGGAGAATACTTAGTAAATATCCCTGTCACATTGGGAGTGGGATAATACTTAGTAAATATCCCTGTCATACTGGGAGTGGGAGAATACTTAGTAACTATCCCTGTTATACTGGGAGTGGGATAATACTTAGTAAATATCCTTGTTATAATTGGGAGTGGGATAATACTTAGTAAATATCCTTGTTATACTGGGGTGGGAGAATACTTGGTAAAATATCCTGTTATACCGGGGTGGGAGAATGCTTGGTAAAATATCCCTGTCACACTGGGAGTGGGATAATACTTGGTAAATATCCCTGTGTCATACTGGGGTGGGATAATGCTTAGTAAATATCCCTGTTATACTGGGAATTGGGATGTCTTAGTAAATATCCCTGTTATGCTGGGGTGGGATGATATGATAAATATCCCTGTCACTGGGGTGGGAGAATACTTGAGTAAATGTCCCTGTCACACTGGGGTGGGAGAATACTTGAGTAAATATCCCTGTCATACTGGGAGTGGGAGAATGTAGTAAATATCCCTGTTATACCGGGAGTGGGAGAATACTCAGTAAATATCCCTGTCACACTGGGAGTGGGAGCATACATAGTAAATATCCCTGTTATACTGGGAGTGGGAGAATACTTAGTAAATATCCCTGTTATACTGGGAGTGGGAGAATACTTAGTAAATATCCCTGTCATACTGGGAGTGGGAGAATACTTAGTAAATATCCCTGTCATACTGGGAGTGGGAGAATACTTAGTAAATATCCCTGTCATACTGGGAGTGGGAGAATACTTAGTAAATATCCCTGTCATACTGGGAGTGGGAGAATACTTAGTAAATATCGCTGTCACACTGGGAGTGGGAGAATACTTAGTAAATATCCCTGTTATACTGGGAGTGGGAGAATACTTAGTAAATATCCCTGTCACATTGGGAGTGGGATAATACTTAGTAAATATCCCTGTCATACTGGGAGTGGGAGAATACTTAGTAACTATCCCTGTTATACTGGGAGTGGGATAATACTTAGTAAATATCCTTGTTATAATTGGGAGTGGGATAATACTTAGTAAATATCCTTGTTATACTGGGAGTGGGAGAATACTTAGTAAATATCCCTGTTATACCGGGAGTGGGAGAATACTTAGTAAATATCCCTGTCACACTGGGAGTGGGATAATACTTAGTAAATATCCCTGTCATACTGGGAGTGGGATAATACTTAGTAAATATCCCTGTTATACTGGGAGTGGGATAATACTTAGTAAATATCCCTGTTATACTGGGAGTGGGATAATACTTAGTAAATATCCCTGTCACACTGGGAGTGGGAGAATACTTAGTAAATATCCCTGTCACACTGGGAGTGGGATAATACTTAGTAAATATCCCTGTCATACCGGGAGTGGGAGAATACTCAGTAAATATCCCTGTCATACTGAGAGTGGGAAAATACTTAGTAAATATCCCTGTTATACTGGGAGTGGGAGAATAGTAAATATCCCTGTCATACTGGGAGTGGGAGAATACTTAGTAAATATCCCTGTCATGCGGGGTAGGATAATGCTTAGTAAATATCCCTGTCATACTGAGAGTGGGAGAATACTTAGTAAAATATCCTTGTTATATACTGGGAATGGGGAGAATGCTTAGTAAATATCCTGTACTGGGGTGGGAGAATGCCCACAGTAAAATATCCCTGTCACACTGGGGTGGGATGTGCTTAGTAAAATATGTCCCTGTCATGCTGGGAATTTTGGGATGAGAATACTTAGTAAATATGCCTGTCACACTGGGAGTGGGAGAATACTTAGTAAATATCCCTGTCATACTGGGAGTGGGAGAATACTTAGTAAATACCCCTGTTATACTGGGAGTGGGAGAATACTTAGTAAATATCCCTGTCATACTGGGAGTGGGAGAATACTTAGTAAATATCCCTGTCATACTGGGAGTGGGAGAATACTTAGTAAATATCCCTGTCATACTGGGAGTGGGAGAATACTTAGTAAATATCCCTGTCATACTGGGAGTGGGAGAATACTTAGTAAATATCCCTGTCATACTGGGAGTGGGAGAATACTTAGTAAATACCGCTGTCACACTGGGAGTGGGAGAATACTTAGTAAATATCCCTGTTATACTGGGAGTGGGAGAATACTTAGTAAATATCCCTGTCACATTGGGAGTGGGATAATACTTAGTAAATATCCCTGTCATACTGGGAGTGGGAGAATACTTAGTAAATATCCCTGTTATACTGGGAGTGGGAGAATACTTAGTAAATATCCTTGTTATACTGGGAGTGGGAGAATACTTAGTAAATATCCCTGTTATACCGGGAGTGGGAGAATACTTAGTAAATATCCCTGTCACACTGGGAGTGGGATAATACTTAGTAAATATCCCTGTTATACTGGGAGTGGGATAATACTTAGTAAATATCCCTGTTATACTGGGAGTGGGATAATACTTAGTAAATATCCCTGTCACACTGGGAGTGGGAGAATACTTAGTAAATATCCCTGTCACACTGGGAGTGGGAGAATACTTAGTAAATATCCCTGTCATACTGGGAGTGGGAGAATACTTAGTAAATACCCCTGTCATACTGGGAGTGGGATAATACTTAGTAAATATCCCTGTCATACTGGGAGTGGGAGAATACTTAGTAAATATCCCTGTCATACTGGGAGTGGGAGAATACTCAGTAAATATCCCTGTCATACTGGGAGTGGGAGAATACTTAGTAAATATCCCTGTCATACTGGGAGTGGGAGAATACTTAGTAAATATCCCTGTCATACCGGGAGTGGGAGAATACTCAGTAAATATCCCTGTTATACTGGGAGTGGGAGAATACTCAGTAAATATCCCTGTCATACTGGGAGTGGGAGAATACTTAGTAAATATCCCTGTTATACTGGGAGCGGGAGAATACTTAGTAAATATCCCTGTTATACTGAGAGTGGGAGAATAGTAAATATCCCTGTTATACTGGGAGTGGGAGAATACTTAGTAAATATCCCTGTCATACTGGGAGTGGGAGAATACTTAGTAAATATCCCTGTCACACTGGGAGTGGGATAATACTTAGTAAATATCCCTGTTATACCGGGAGTGGGAGAATACTCAGTAAATATCCCTGTCATACTGGGAGTGGGAGCATACATAGTAAATATCCCTGTCATACTGGGAGTGGGAGAATACTCAGTAAATATCCCTGTCACACTGGGAGTGGGAGCATACATAGTAAATATCCCTGTCACACTGGGAGTGGGATAATACTTAGTAAATATCCCTGTTATACCGGGAGTGGGAGAATACTCAGTAAATATCCCTGTCACACTGGGAGTGGGAGCATACATAGTAAATATCCCTGTTATACTGAGAGTGGGAGAATAGTAAATATCCCTGTTATACTGAGAGTGGGAGAATACTTAGTAAATATCCCTGTCATACTGGGAGTGGGAGAATACTTAGTAAATATCCCTGTCATACTGGGAGTGGGAGAATACTTAGTAAATATCCCTGTCCCTGTTATACTGTGTTAAAGTGTTAGAGTGGATGATGTGGAGCTGAAAGTTTGTTCTGATGGAGAACTGATCCCTGTCCCCCAGTAATCCCCCCAATACTGCCCTCCTCACTGTCTACACCCTGAGCGCGAGCCGTGTCCCGCTCCCGGATTGGCTGCCTGGGGTCACGTGTCAGCACCCTTTGCTCTGCTGCAGTCGGAGCCCACAGTGAGGTCCGCACAAACCAGTCCGGGACCGGGGGAGACAGGCGGGAGCAGGGAGTCCGGGGGAGACACGGTGTGACAGGCGGGAGCAGGGAGTCCGGGGGAGACACGGTGTGACAGGCGGGAGCAGGGAGTCCGGGGGAGACACGGTGTGACAGGCGGGAGCAGGGAGTCCGGGGGAGACACGGTGTGTCCGCTATCAGACAGGGCATTGCCGACTAACTCCGGAGTGACTGCAGTGAGTGCTGCCCGGGGTGAGTTAACATCCAGCTATATTTCGTCTGTTTTCAATGCTAACACGTAATGTGTCCATGTTTTAGACAGTGTGTCCCATGTTAGGCTCCCCCTCACTATCCCATGCCAGCCTCCCCTGCTCCCTCACTATCCCATGCCAGCCTCCCCTGCTCCCTCACTATCCCATGCCAGCCTCCCCTGCCCCCTCACTATCCCATGCCAGCCCCCCTGCCCCCTCACTATCCCATGCCAGCCTCCCCTGCCCCCTCACTATCCCATGCCAGCCCCCCTGCCCCCTCACTATCCCATGCCAGCCCCCCTGCCCCTCACTATCCCATGCCAGCCCCCTCTGCTCCCCTCACTATCAATGCCAGCCCCCTGCCCTCTCATATCCATGCCAGCCCCCTCTGCTCCCTCGCTATCCACATGCCCCCTGCCCCCTCACTATCCCATGCCAGCCTCCCTGCTCTTCACTATCCATGCCAGCCCCCTGCTCCCTCACTATCCATGCCAGCCCCTGCTCCTTCACTATCCGCCGCAGCCCCCTCTGCTCGCCTTCACTATCCCATGCCAGCCCCCCCCTGCCTCCCTCACTATCCCATGCCAGCCCCTGCCCCTCCTATCCATGCCAGCCCCCCCTCACTATCCCATGCCAGCCCCCTCTGCTCCCTCACTATCATGCCAGCCCCCCTGCCCCCTCACTATGTTCAGCCTCCTGCTCTTCACTTATCATGCCAGCCCCCTGTCATGCTATCCCATGCCAGCCCCCCCCTCTGCTCCTTCACTATCCCGTGCCCCAGCCCCCCTGCCTCCTCACTATCCCACCAGCCCCCCTGCCCCTCACTATCCCATGCCAGCCTCCCCCTGCTCCCTCACTATCCCATGCCAGCCCCCTGCTCCCCTCACTATCTCATGCAGCCCCCTGCTCCTTCACTATCATGCCAGCCCCCTTGTCCCTCACTATCCCATGCAACCCCCTAACCCCCCTCACTATCCCATGCCAGCCCCCTCTTGCCCCTCACTATCCATGCCAGCCCCCTGCTCCCTCACTATGCCATGCCAGCCCCCTGCTCCCTCACTATACCATGCCAGCCCCCTGCTCCCCACTATCCATGCCCTCCTCCCCTGCTATCCCATGCGGCCTTCCCTCCCCATACTATCCCATGCCAGCTTCCCTCCCCTCACTATCCATGCCAGCCTCCCCTCCCCCCCATACTATCCCATGCCAGCTTCCCCATGCCCTCCCCTTACTATCTCTTGCCAGCCTCCCCTTGCCTCCTTACTTTCCCATGCCAGCCTCCCCCTGCCCCCTTACTGTCCCTTCCCAGCCTCCCCCTGCCCTCTTACTATCTTTTGCCTGCCTACCCTTGCTACCCCATGCCAGCCTCCCCCTCTCCACCTTACTGTCTCATGCCAGCCTCCTCTTACTATCCCATGCCAGTCTCCCCTGCCCTTCTTGGTACCCCATGCCAGTCTCCACCTGCCCTCCTTAGTATCGAATGCCAGCCTCCCCCTTACTATCCCATGCCAACCTCCACCTTTCCTCCTTAGTAGCCCATACCAGCTTTGTAACCCATGCTAGCTTCCCCCTTAATATTTCTTTGCCAGCCTCCATCTGCTTTTCTTAATATCCCATTCCATTCTCCACCTGCCCTCTTTACTAACCCATGCCAGCTTTGTATCCCATGCCAGCTTCCACCTGCCCCCTTAGTAATCCATGCCACCCTCCACCTCCCCTTCTTAGTAACCCATGCCAGCCTCCATCTGCCATCCTCAGTAACCCATGCCACCCTCCCTCTGCCCTTCTTAGTAACCCATGCCAGCCTTCTATCCCATGCCAGCCTTCACCTACTCTCCTTAATAACCCATGCCAGCCTTGTATCCCATGCCAGGCAACAACAGCCCTCCTTAGTATCCCATGCCTGGCTTTCTCTGCCCTCCTTAGTATCCCATGCCAGCCTCCCTCAGCCCATTCAGTTATATAATGCCAGCTTTTCTCTATCCCCACTTCAGTGTATTCTATATCTGCATCTCTTTACCCTGCATCAGTATATCATATGCCAGCTTGCCTGTCCCATTTTTGTATCTGTTGAGGCTTCCCCTTGCTTGTATTTTATGTACAACTGTGACAGCGTCATTCTGCCACTTCAGTTAAAACCTTTCCAGCGTCCATTTCCCCATTTTTAGTCTATTCTGTTAACAGCCCTTTTTATTTAACGTATCCAGTACTACCATCATTCTGACACACTTCAGTATATCTAGTTCTAGAATTCAGTGTACCCCATGCCAGTCTCTCTTTGATGCTTCAGTTCATCTCATGACCGATTCCATCTGCCCCATTCTGTCAGGTTCTCTTTGCCCCTTCGTTGCCTGTTTAGCTCTGCTCAGTCTTTATTAAGTGTGTTTAATTATTAAAAATTTTTTTTTTAATGTACTCTGGATCCCATTGACCAGAAGAACTACAGATTCTGCTCTGGTAGCATGTTAATTGCCCCTTCCCAAATAATGCTACTTTCTGTCGAACCTTATTCTACAATGTGCATATTGTTTTCTAACATGCCTATCCTCATTCCTACCTTGGCATGTTTTTGTCTTATACTAGGAATGTTTCCATGTGAATATGTAGTTGAAATACAGAATTTGTGTCTAATATAGGGAAAAAAGTCTGGTATTTACTAAAATGGCGACTTTGCTGTTATTTACTGAATGCAGAGCTCATCTTCAAACCCACTATAATCAAAGCCTGGGTCTGTCAACGCAAATAATGCATACAATTCGGTAAAACGGAACGTTGACATAATCCACAAGTCCTTCTAACTGATTTTTGTTTTCTGAAAAAGGAAGAAATCTTTATTCAATATATGAAAACAAACACAGAAAATTGACAAAATATTTCTCAAACACATAAAGATATTGTATACATGAATCAATAAAACGTATTATCAGTATATGCAGTAAAAGAGCTTACAGTACACTATGATAACTAGACTATTTGCATTACTAATTGGTATCGACTGGCCCTGGAGACTGCCCTGCATGGTTTCATGCACCACATGTGGCGTTTCCTAGAGGTTATCACAGAAAAAAATATAGCTTTGTCAGAAAGCAAATTGGAACTAAAATATATATATATAATTTCTTTTTTCTTTTTTTTTTTTTTGTCTTCTTTGAATGTCATGACCGTATGTTCCATATGACATCTACTTTTAGTTTGAATACAGAGGTAATTGTTTGCAAAGTGATACATAGGAAAATAAAAGGTTTTATTTTGGAGCATGATCAAGGTCTACTATAAGTATTTTGAAACTCATATCTGTATTGTTGAATCGTAAGGCAGCACACTGCAAAAATACATCAGACATTTTAAAGGGACACTCCAAGCTATAGAACAGCCTTTTGTTGTAGTGATCAAGCTAGGAAGCTGTTAATTTTGGCATTTTTATATTTTTTCTTTATTTTCTTGAAATCTCCAGCAGTCTTGTTCTCCTGTTGACATAATGTGGGGAAGGACTGCTTTTCTTTGCTGGCTAAGTACTCCTGTACTTTAGCTTCCATATTACCTCCTCTCCCTGTGCAAGTCTACCTCAGTGCCCCTAATGTGACGGTGCATGCACACATCCCTGTTACCTGCCTCTGTCTCTCTCTCTCTCGAAGTCTAAGCACGCAATCACATTTTCCATAATTATACTTTTTTTGCTGTATGAAGTTGTCATCTATAAACATTTAGTATTTCATGAATTAATTACTTGCTTTGAAAGAAGTGAATTGAATGCAGAAATTTGAATTATTAATTTTAAACACATGGTTGCAAAAAGCAAAGAGATTTTAGTCAAAGGCACAGGCCTGTTAAAGCGTTATTGAAAAACAAATGTTGCTATCTGCAGTGACTGTCAGTCGAGTTTGCTAAATTGACACCCAAGCAGCCAGACCTGGAATCGATCAGAAAAACGTATGTGGTTTTTTTTTAATTCTGTGCAGACGTAGTTCGGACTTCAAGTACTGTTTACGTTTATGACAAACTTATTGTAAAGTACCTGTGATTTTATTTAGGAGTAAAAGTTGATCTTGCAGACCAGTAGTGCCCAAAAGGTAGATCACCAGATTTTGTAGAACTAAAATTCCCATGATGCTGTGCACTTCTACAAAATGCCGTTAGAATGACAAAGCATCATGGAAGCCTTTTGGGCACCACTGTTGTAGTTTGAATTTGGAATGCACATGAGTTAGATTTTCCACTTCCAGGCCTGCTTTGTTATTCTACAAAAACATTATTTTTTTTTTTTGTATTTCATATGGATTTCACATGCGTTTTTAAAAAAATCTTTTTTTTATTTTTTTTCCTTTACATAAAAAATCGAAAAGTTTATTTTGGCTGATGTAGTTTTGATTTGAGCCCTTATCCCAGATCCCAGCAGGAAATTGCATATCTTTTGCATGATAGGCTATGGTGTGGGTCTTCTACCCTAGCCTTCATTTACAAAAAAAAAAAAAAAGTGTTGAACTAAAAAAAACAAACATGTGGCTTGAGGGGCCAAAAAGTTAGTAGCGGCTTATTGAACAGTAGCAGTTTTTACATTCCCTTATAAAAAAATTTTCTCCTGGTCTGTGTTGGCTGGATAGTCAGTACATCCGTGAGCAAGCCTTTCTCGTCATGAGACGTGCCCAGGTATCTTCCCTAGCAATCATTGCAAAGGAAAGTGCATATTTACGAGGTCTACCCTGGCGAATTGTCTTCCGAAGGAACCCGTATACAGTGCGACCTCGGTTTACAAACGCCTCGGTTAACGTAATTTTTGTTCACAAATGAAAATCCATTGAAAATAATCCCTCGGTTTACACATTTTTTTTTTTTCCCGCAATACAAAGCAAGTTTCCCCAGGATGCATTGCACCGGGGAGGTTTATAGCCCCGCCCCCTGCATGCTGGAGCCTGTGGGTAGCTCGTGGCGTCGAGTGGGGTGGTGTTGGAGCGGCTTTTGCATTGAGTTTTGGAGCCGTTCTGGAAATTGTTTGCAGTTGTTTTGGGACTTTTTGGTGCATTTCTCAAGCTGTGGAAAGGTAGGGAGCTGAGCTTTGTCATTTGCATTCCTTTTATTGTGTGTTCTGCATTGTGGGTTGGTTTCCATGCCAGCTCATTTTGACTTTTTTTCTGACCTCCAGAACGGATTAATCGCTTTTCAATGCATTCCTATGGGAAACCGCGTTTCAGTTTACAAATTTTTCGCAAAGGGAAACATCCCAGAGAACGCATTAAATTCGTAAACCGAGGTCCCGCTGTATTCCTTTTTTCAAGGGAAAAGCCATTTCACTGGTCTTCATTGGAAGAACTTTCTGAGGACCAATGCTTTAATAATAAATAAAATACTAACTGGATTTGGAAAGTCCTGGATGTTTTGGAGATTTGGGGTTGTTGTGTTTTTTTTTGTTTTTGTTTTTTTGGGGGGTGGGGGGTGTTCTCAGCTTTTTGTTAAGCATATTTAAACTTGACAAATTATTTTATTTTTATTTTCTCTATTGTGATAATTTGTGTTAATTAAGGCCTTCCAAGTAATAATTGGCTTTTAAACCTCAATTATTCCAATGGGAATGCCCTTTATTTTGCCCTTGTGCAAACTTAAAGTGGCACTCTCCCACCTCTAGTTTTGCCAATATCTAATGGAACTGTAGGCTGCGCTTTGTAAAGTGGAACTTGCAGGGTCTTTGCAGCAATATATCCATGGTGTTGCCTGGAAGGGGCGGGAGCATAGTTCCTACAGTGTCTTTATCCTGCTTAAACTTTTCAGAAAGCTTGTGTCTATATGGAAAATATCAAGAATTGATTTGTTTGTTTTTCCGCTTTTTTTTTTTTCAAAGCAATAATGCAGAAGGTTTGTTAACAATCACGTATGAATTTGCACAACCATTTACAAGCACTCATTCTGGCAATGCTACGCTCCTCACCCCTGTTACAGCACCGATAGTGTTTGCTATGGTAAGCAATCAAAAGCTATCACTTCAGTAGAAGTGTCTTTTATTGTTTAAAATTAGATTATTTCTATCTTGGAGTTTGAAGATGTTAACTCAAACAAAGAATGTTTTACTTTCAGGTTTTAGATTATTGGCAATTCTAAGAAGTCTTTCACTTTGAGTGGTATTTGAATTTTACAGTGTGCTTATATATGTTACAGAATATCATTTTCAGTGGAATTTGACCCTGCTTTAGAGCCTTGCGTAATGTGTATTCTGATTTATTAGCAGATGTTAACCTCCCAACATTCCAGAATGTTGACCAAACTCTTCCACTTACCGCTGTCTCTCACCAATGGCTTATTGTACCTCTCTCTAGAAAGTACAGGCGCTTTTACATGAAACTCTCAATATAATTAAAAAACAAAATAAAAATTGAATTGTATACAATAGTTGTGGTGTGTTTACTGTGCATATTATGTATTTCCGTGTAGGATTTGGTCAGTGTTTAAAACAACCAGGTATGGTACTGTAACAACTGGGAGACCCCATCTGGCTAGCCCTCCTTTAGTGGATGTTTTGCAGGTGGAAGTGCATATTAAAACAAACCTCAATTTAGAGCTGACAAGTTTTTAATTTGTAGAGCCAGGTACTGCATTTCAATAAAACTGCACACATTACTCACTGATGGTTTAGCCATTATTATGGAAGTTTGAGACAGCTGTATGTTGCCTCCAAGATTAGGTCCAGGCTCTAGATTTAGTCACTTTCCTTGAACTGTTGCGGCCTAGATACTGCTCACCATAACTGTTTGCATGTAGATGTGACTGTCTTTCACAGTGCCACAGTCAAGACTGTTAAATAAAAGAATTCACAAATTCTGTTTACAAGTTAAGAAGAAGAAGAATAATTTAATAATATATTGCAATTTTTATAGCGCTTTTCTCCCTGTGAGACTCAAAACACTTTGCAAATACACAAACATAAAGACATAAAAGTTCAGAGTTTCTGATGGTCAGATGAGCGGACAGAATGCCTGATGGAAGAGGTCGGTCTTTAGTTTTTGTTTGTTTTTAAAAGTCATCTTTAAAGACGGTGCCTCTCTGAGCATGGTAAAGAGTTACAGAAGTTAGAGGTAGTGTGGCTGCCTCTCATTGCTCCCCCAGTGACGGATGGTGACAGTTACTCATTGCTCCCCCAGTGACGGATGGTGACAGTTACTCATTGCTCCGCAGTGACAGATTTTGACAGTTACTCATTGCTCCACAGTGACGGATGGTGACAGTTACTCATTGCTCCGCAGTGACGGATGGTGACAGTTACTCATTGCTCCACAGTGACGGATGGTGACAGTTACTCATTGCTCCCGCAGTGACGGATGGTGACAGTTACTCATTGCTCCTATGGTGATGGTGACAGTTACTCTTTGCTTCCGCAGTGACGGATTGTGACAGTTACTCTTTGCTTCCGCAGTGACGGATTGTGACAGTTACTCTTTGCTTCCGCAGTGACGGATGGTGACAGTTACTCTTTGCTTCCGCAGTGACGGATGGTGACAGTCATTGCTCCCGCAGTGACGGATGGTGACAGTTACTCATTGCTCCTACGGTGACAGTTACTCATTGTACCCGCAGTGACGGATGGGGACAGTTACTCATTGCACCCCCAGTGACGGATGGTGACAGTTACTCATTGCACCCGCAGTGACGGATAGTGACAATTACTCATTGCACCCGCAGTGACGGATGGTGACAGTTACTCGTTGCACCCGCAGTGACGGATGGTGACAGTTACTCGTTGCACCCGCAGTGACGGATGGTGACAGTTACTCTTTGCTTCCGCAGTGACGGATGGTGACAGTTACTCATTGTACCCGCAGTGACAGATGGTGACAGTTACTCATTGCTCCTACGGTGACAGTTACTCATTGTACCCGCAGTGACGGATGGTGACAGTTACTCATTGCACCCGCAGTGACGGATGGTGACAGTTACTCATTGCACCCGCAGTGACGGATGGTGACAGTTACTCATTGCACCCGCAGTGACGGATAGTGACAGTTACTCATTGCACCCTCAGTGACGGATGGTGACCGTTACTCGTTGCACCCGCAGTGACGGATGGTGACAGTTACTCGTTGCACCCGCAGTGACGGATGGTGACAGTTACTCGTTGCACCCGCAGTGACGGGTGACAGTTACTCGTTGCACCCGCAGTGACGGTTACTCATTGTTCCCGCAGTGACGGATGGTGACAGTTATTCGTTGAACCCGCAGTGACGGATGGTGACAGTTACTCGTTGCACCCGCAGTGACGGATGGTGACAGTTACTCGTTGCACCCGCAGTGACGGAGGGTGACAGTTACTCGTTGCATCCGCAGTGACGGTTACTCATTGCTCCTGCAGTGACGGATTGTGACAGTTACTCATTGTTCCCGCAGTGACGGATGGTGACAGTTAATCGTTGAACCCGCAGTGACGGATGGTGACAGTTACTCGTTGAACCCGCAGTGACGGATGGTGACAGTTACTCGTTGCTCCTGCAGTGATGGATGGTGGCAGTGACGGATGGTGACAGTTACTCATTGCTCCTATGGTGACAGTTACTCATTGCTCCTGCAGTGACGGATGGTGACAGTTACTCCTTGCTTCCGCAGTGACGGATGGTGACAGTTACTCCTTGCTTCCGCAGTGACGGATGGTGACAGTTACTCATTGCTCCTACAGTGACAGTTACTCATTGCACTTGCAGTGACAAATGGTGACAGTTACTCATTGCACTTGCAGTGACGGTTGGTGACAATTACTCGTTGCACCCGCAGTGACGGAGGGTGACAGTTACTTGTAGTCAGGAAGATGTTGTATGTAGCATTTGAACTAAGGAGAGATGTAAGTGGGAAAAGGGGAGTGCACAAGAGGGAAAAAAGGGAAGTATACTCTAAACTGGATGGCTTGGCTTTTTAACCTGTAGTCTGCCGGGCATAAACAGATTATTGTAGTGATTAAGGTCCAGAGAGTATTTAGGTGCCGTCTTCTTCGCTTAAAGGATAATTGAAGTCACCCAGGCCACTTCATCTCGATTAAGTGGTTTTGGTGCATTGGTCCTTTTTTAACCTTTTTATGCAAAACTGTTAGCTGCAAAAAGCCTGCAGGCACTGACTATACTCACCAGAACAAACACAATAAGCTGTAGTGTTTCTGGTGGCTATATTGTCCCTTCAAAGAGTTAAGCTAGCCTCTAGTGCAGGCTTCCCAAAACTCCGGCCCTCCAGATGTTGCTGAACTGCAACTCCCATGATTCTATGAATGAAATGGGCTGAGAATCATGGGAGTTGTAGTTCAGCAACATCTGGAGGGCCGGAGTTTGAGGAAGCCTGCTCTAGTGGCTGTCATACTGAGGTGCATCGCTGCACTGACTTAGTAAAACTCGGTCAGGTGACGTTCGACATCGAACTTAATCAATTGCAGCTCATAGGAGAGCATTCTTATGGGAAAGCTGAGTGTACTGACTGCACACTCTGCACACGCACTTCAGGTCCCCAGTGCTCTACTATGAGAAACTTTTGGATTGGGCCGAATGAGAGATTTGGGATATTTTCCCTCTTTTCTATATAATTCACTGAATTAGTGCCAATTAAACGATTAGAGTTGCCTTTTAAGGGTTACTTGGTAAATGACAAGTTTTAGATATAGGGGGGGAGCATGACTTTTCCAATGCCATCAGTTGGGACCAAGGGCATATATCTACTGTGCTTAGAATGAGTACCAATAAGGTACAAAGGGAATCCTGAGGCAGACATAGGCATCTCCAAAGTCCAGGCAGCCCAGCTTCATAGGCAAATTCAAGCCAGATTTTCAATATCAGGATAGCACACTCCTAGGATTCTGGCTATTCAGAAATGTCCTAAGGGTACAAAGTGTTTAGCCCAGCACATGTCTGCTGGTCATATGTAATTCTCTGTGTGTATTTCTCAGTCATGACTTTGGAAAAGACTTAGTAGTCTAGTGATACATACTGTGGATTTCTTGGTCTCCCAAGCACACCAAATAGGGAAGCATGGAATGAAATGCAATGCATCATAAAGTTCTGACTCTAGTTTTGCTGAAAAGCATGTGAATATTCAATATTATGATTGTTACTACTGTGTTTAGATCTTTCACTCATTTAATTTTCAAGCACCTGTGCTCAGCCTTCAATAGCAGGATTTCCTGAACGTTCTGCAATATTATTTTTGTTTATACAGCGCTCATTAAGTTTACTTTGTGGTATTTTATAGTTCGTAAGCTTGCAGACAGAGCCCTCTATTCCCTTTTGTATTTGTATGCACAGATATATTGTATTATGTTTTCTGTTTGCTTTGAGGAGAAAAATGCAGGTGTTAAAGGGATGCTAGGTATTTATAAATAAAAAAAAGACAAGAGACTTGGACTCAGTTGAGTCCTGTTCCACCTCCTTGCAGAAGAATGGTAACAGACCCCTTTATCCTACCCCCTATCAAGATGAAGGTCACCTAGACTGTGTTAGCTAATAGGAGATAACCCTTAAAGGACCACTATAGTGCCAGGAAAACATACTCGTTTTCCTGGCACTATAGTGCCCGGAGGGTGCCCCTCCCGCCCGGCTCTGGAAAGGGGTAAAAACTTACCTTTTTCCAGCGCTGGGCGGGGAGCTCTCCTCCGACGATCCTCCTCCTCTCCGCCCATTCAGCAGAATGCGCACGCGCGGCAAGAGCTACGCGCGCATTCAGCCGGTCGCATAGGAAAGCATTCACAATGCTTTCCTATGGACGCTGGCGTGCTCTCACTGTGAAAATCACAGTGAGAAGCATGCAAGCGCCTCTAGCGGCTGTCAATGAGACAGCCGCTAGAAGCTTTGGGGGAAGGCTTAACCCATTTATAAACATAGCAGTTTCGCTGAATCTGCTATGTTTAGAAAAGAATGGGTTAACCCTAGCTGGACTAGGCACCCAGACCACTTCATTAAGCTGAAGTGGTCTGGGTGCCTAGAGTGGTCCTTTAAATATTAAAATGAAAAAAGGTCAAAAATCCCAGCTGCCTCTTTTTAAGAGGAGGCTAGTGGGAAAGAGCCCAGTATAATATGCTAGTAGCCAAGCAAATAATCACAACATTTATTATCAACAGATGAGCTACTAGATCAACGAGGGAATACTTATCTACTAAAGATATCTAATAACTGGATAAATAGTTATCCTTGTGTTTGGGCAGGTAATAGTAGAGGGGATGGGGATGGGAGGTAACCAACTCCTATCATATAATCGAAAAAAGGACTTAAAGGACCACTATAGGCACCCACACCACTTCAGCTCAATGAAGTGGACTGGGTGCCATGTCCCCCTAGTTTTAACCCTGCAGCTGAAAACATAGCAGTTTCAGAGAAACTGCTATTTTTACACTGCAGGGTTAATACCGCCTCTAGTGGCTGTTTACCTGACAGCCACTAGAGGCTGCTTCCGCGTTTTACATGGAGTAAATCGCCATTATTTGACGCTTGACGTCCTCACGGAGACCAATGTCAAAAAAGATTCCCATAGGAAAGCATTGAGTAATGCTATACTATGGGCGGGTTTGAATGCGCGTGTGCTCCTCTGGCCGTGCATGCACATTCGGCTCCACTCGGAAGCGACATCGATAGGAGAGGTCACCAGTGCCGAGGTATCCCAGCGCGGGATTAAGATAAGCAAAGAAATGGTTAACACTTTATTTGCCGTGGAACGGGGCCCTAGTCACCTAAACGGTGACTAGGGCTCTTTAGCGTTAGGAATGCATATTTGTACTCCTAACATTACAGTGTTACTTTAAAGCAGCAGCCGCTCTAAAAGTAGACAGGGAAAAGAGGAATTCTATCGTGAAGGATAATCTCCATCAAAAGACCCTAGAGAAAAGCGCTAAAAATCCTTATAAGGGGAAGGGAAACAAGGGGCATAGCTACCACCCACAACCCATTAAAGGGATCCCCCCCCTTACTGGTCCCTGTTCACTTTTAGAGCTGCTGCTCCTTTAAGTACTTTTTTGGATTATATGATAGGAGTTGGTTACCTCCCATCCCCATCTCCTCTACTATTACCTGCCAAAACACAAGGATAACTTTTTATCCAGTTATTAGATGCACTTATATCTTTTAGTAGATAAGTTCCCTCGCTGATCTAGTAGCTCATCTGTTGATAATAATAAATGTTGTGGTTTTTTGCTTGGCCACTAGCATATTAGACTGGACTCTTTCCCACTTGCCTCCTCTTAAAATGAGACAACTAGAATTTTTTAGACCTTTTTTCATTTTAATCAAAACATCTTTATCTTAATGAAGCAGTTTGGGTGTATAGATCATGCCCCTGCAGTCTCAGTGCTCAATTCTCTGAGCATTTTTGTGCCTATAGTATTCATTTAAGGCTCACCAGAGCACATGCAAAAGACAATAATTGTATCCCTTATATGAAAGTGAAACGGTAAGTGGTACATGGAACTAAGTATGTGTGAGTGTTCTACTTTAAGTAACACTCCAAGCACCATAACCACTACAGCACACAGTAAGTAGTCAAATTTGACTTCTTAACTGTTTGCTGGGCAGCACACCCCGCTTCTACTGCAAGCAGATTTTCTGAGCTAACTTGGTGATGCTCTCAGTTAATGAGCTAGCCTTGCACTGCAGGGCTTAGCTCAGGAGTGCTAATGAAAGCATCTAAGCAGGAGATTCTAGCTCTCCTGAAGCCTGTAGAGAGGTGACGAGCAGAGCCTATGTAAGAAGTCAAACCAAATGCTAAAACAGTCTTTTACTACTTATAATGATGGGGCTAGGGCATCCATGGAACCATAACCACAACATTGTGCTGTAGTGTTACTGGTACTTGGAATGTTCCTTGAAGTTTAAACACTCAGTTTGCCTTTTAAAATGAGGAAAAAAACTGTATTGACATGGATATATTAAACTGTATTTTTATGTCTTATATATGTGTATCATGATGATCAGTGATCAATAATCAAAGCAGTCAGACATTCTCATGGGTTTACATGGTTATGGAATGTTGGATTAGATTATTCATAATAAATAGTTGTATTTCTTCCCATAGCCTCTTTGGGATATTTCAATAACGATTTTTCAGTTTGCAAACTGCAAGCACCTGAGAACCTGGCTGCTCTCAAAATCTCATGGAAATTGTAATTTTAGAACTGTTATATGTGTTCTGTTATCAGAACACCTTGGCTTTAATGTACATTAATAAAGTTTATAATCATAACCCAAAATAAGGGACAGCCAACATTCAAGTTGCTCACTTTCCTTGGCTATATAATTAGACTAAAAATTAATGTAGGCGGTAACAGCTTGTTGAGCAAAGGAGAAAAACTGCCATTTTGGAATGCAAAGGGAATTTTTCCTTGTTTGTAGCATAATTAGAAATGGCTTCAAATTCTTTTTGTGAACTTGTTTTTGTTTTGTATTGTTTTTTTCTCCTTGCCTATATTACTGTGTAACAGTACTACCATCACATCCTTGATTTTCTACAGGATGATTTTTCCCAGTGCCATTGTCAGGCCGCTCTAGAGATCTGAGTGCGGAAATCACACTCATTGTTTCGATAAGGTCACGTCTAAACCGAGACCCAAATATATTTCCAGATGATCAATTTGGGACAGTATTATGGCTTCATCAGCTAATCACGGCTCCACCTCTTTGAACCTCTGGAGGATAACCACTGACCTTCAAAGCCATCTTCCTGATTAGTGTCTCCACCTCTAGTAGAGTAGGTGAAATTAACCCCATTAATAGAGCAGATATGTTGTGCATTGTGAGTATATACAATAAATCACTATCACGTTAATTATTTAGTTTTGATACTGCAATTTTTTTTTAAATTGTGTTTATCACATTCATTTTGCATTATTTATATATATATTCACAATGCTCTTCAGGGGCGGACTGAGAACCCTCAGGGCCCCCGGGCAAAATAAATCAAGGGCCCCCTTACAGGCCCCACCCATACTCTGCAGCAAGCGCCACCCTTGTCCCGCCTCCATGCACCGCCTCCAGCCACACCCTACACAATCTTTAGACACAAGGAACAAAAGGGCAATAAGCCCTTCGAGGCCCCAGCAGAGACTACAATTGAGGGCTAATGGGCCATGGAGGGGGGTCTTTCTAGCGGAGGCTATCTCAGTGTCCTTTAGAGTGTGTGTTAGAAAGAATCCCCTCAAGGCCCCATTAGAGACTACAATGGAGTCTAATAGGCTTGGAAGGGGGTCTTTCTAACAGAGGCCATCTCAGCGTCCATTAGATATCCCCTGCTGGAAACAGTCGCCTCCAGGCCCCAGTAGAGACTACAACTGAGGGCTAATGGGCCATGGAGGGGATTTCTAGCAGAGGCTATCTCAGTGTCCTTTAGAGAGTGTGTTAGAAAGAATCTCCTCCAGGCCCCATTAGAGACTACAATGGAGTCTAATGGGGCCTGGAGGGTGGTCTCTCCAACACTCTGGTTCCTATTCACAATATAGCAACACAACATAGCTCACTGATACCTAGGCCAAGTTGGCTCCTCTTACCTTAATTACTGTTGCTGGCTGGCAGTCTGTGGGCTTGCTTGCTGCGGCTGGCAGGCTGTGGGCTTGCTGCTGGCAGGCTGTGGGCTTGCTGGCTACTGCCGGCAGGCTGTGGGCTTGCTGGCTACTGCCGGCAGGCTGTGGGCTTGCTGGCTACTGCCGGCAGGCTGTGGGCTTGCTGACTGCGGCTGGCAGGCTGTGGGCTTGCTGGCTGCGACTGGCAGGCTGTGGGCTTGCTGGCTGTAAGCCTGTGGGCTGGCTACTGGCCTGTGGGCTGGCTAACTGGCTGGCTACTGGCCAGCCTGTGGGTTGGCTGGCTGGCTACTGGGGCACTTGTAGATTATTTAAATAAATAATCCATGCGCAATAACCACTACTGCTCCAGAGTAAGTAGTCAAACCATTTAAGAACAGTTTGACAACTTACCTGGGATCTGCTGGGATATGGGGGCTGTAGTAGGGAATAGGAGCAGTGGTGCAATGTGTGTGAAAGGTTCAGTGTGTGTGGGGGGGGTGTGGGCTGTGTACATGTGTGGCAATGTTAGTATGGGGGTCTATGTGTATATGGGTGGGCAGTGTATGTGTGTGTGTGAAGCAATGTGTGTATGGTGTGTATGGGGGCAGTGTGTGAATGTGTATGGTGTGTGTGTGTGGGCAGTGTGTTTATGGGGCTAGAGTTCACTCTCACCACTGCGACCACCAGGAATCCCTGGGGGTCACAGTGTTGAGAGTGAACACTAGACCGTAGCTCCAGGGCTAGAGTTGACTCTCGCAAGAGCGGTAACGTTGCCATGGTAATCGCGGCAACGCTCTGTGCTCGTGCAAGAAGGACCCAGAGGAGCTGCAGGGTGAGCTCCCAGGTCCTCTCTTCCTTCCTCCCCTGCCCGCACGGTCCCTGTGTGCCTTTTTGTCTCCCCCCGTCCCTCTGTATGTTTCTTTCTCCCCCCTCCTTCCCAGTCTTTCTTACCCCTCTGCCTCTTTCTCCCTCTCTTCCACTGTTTTTCTCCCCCCTTTCCCTGTCTCTCTCTCTCTCCCCCACAACTCTCTTCCTCTCTGTCTCTTTCTCCCCCTCCCCATCTCTTTCTCCCCCTGTGTCTCTTTCTCCCCCTCCCTATCTCTCTATTACCCCTCTTTCTCCCCGTGTCTCATTCTTCCCTCTCTGTCTGTCTCCCCCCTCCCCATATCTCTGTTCCCCCCTCTTTCCATATCTCTGTTCCCCCCTCTTTCTCCCCCCTCCCCATATCTCTGTTCCCCCCTCTTTCTCCCCTCTCCCCATATCTCTGTTCCCCCCTCTTTCTCCCCTCTCCCCATATCTCTGTTCCCCTCCCTCTCCCCATATCTCTTTTCCCTCCCTCTCCCCATATCTCTTTTCCCCTCCCTCTCCCCATATCTCTTTTCCCCCTTGCATTGAGCTCCACGCATCTTTTGGCTGTTTCTAGTTTGTTCTTGGTATCCTGTAGTCTGAGCCTGTTCACCTGGAATGTGCACACCTGTTCTGGTTCCTTGATGATTGGCTGAGACTCCTATTTAAACCCTTGAGGCTGGTTCTCGTGGTCAGATCGTGTTTCCTATTCCTGTTTGGTTTCACTGCTGTTCATCTGACTCCTGCTTTTGATCTCCTGCTCGTCTACTGTTTTCGCCTGATTGCCGCCCGTCCTGACTTCTGATTCTGATACTGACTACTCTTCTGGATATCCTTGTCTGTACTGCGTTCCAGGAAGCACTGGTTTTTTCAGCCCCAGTGCACTGTGTCACAGCCTTGGGGATTTCTGTCCTGAGTCCCCTCGGTCTGTGTCGAATTGCAAAGGGTGCCTCAACTCTGCGTGCCGGACTCCCACTTCAGGTAAGATCCTTGACAGTACGATCTGACCAAATGGAGTCTGCAGAGTTGAAGATTACCGTTGCAGCCTTGACCCAGCAAGTTTCCCAGCTCACCCAGGCTTTGCAGGGCTTACAGCAGGAGCTGGCTTCCCTTAAAGGGAGAGTAACCTATGACTCTGGACTCTCTGAACCGCTGGTTGCTCTACCCGAGAAATTTTCTGGGATCTGGTCTAAGTATGATACCTTCAAAGTTGATTGCGAGGTCCTGTTCTCCCTGAGACCACTTACCTATGCCACAGACGTCATTAAAGTGAGGACAGCGATTACCTTATTGTCGGGGCACCTTAAGATCTGGGCCCACCAGTTGTTACTCGCCAAAAGCCCAGTCCTAAATTCCTGGGAGTCCTTTATTCGGTCCCTGGGTTTACAATGCAACAAGACACAAAAGTCATATGTACATAGATCATCTGCTGTTGCTTCACACATATTGCAACCCGGACTGGAAATGGACTACACTACTCCTTTCACTCGGACTGATGTTACAGCTAACCCTACCGCTCCCAAGTCTCCCGAAACATCGTATAAATCTGGCAGGGAGGCGGAGGAACCCATGGAGATTGGACTGGTTAGGTTCCGTCAGTCATCTCAAGAAAGGGCAAGAAGGATGGCGCATGGACTGTGTTATTATTGTGGGGAGATGGGACATTTAATATCTTTTTGTCCCATTCGTCCATCTAGGTCTCGGGTTCTCCGTCTGGGTACTACTCTGGCATATCCTATGAGACCTGTCTGCCAACATGCTGCCTGTCCTTGCTTGACCACTCTGTCCAATCCTCAGCCTTCTACAGTCGTTGCTCCTGAGGTTGTGCAGGAATCTGTTACTAAAGAACCTGAGATCTCTATTTCTACTAAAGATTCTGCTTCTAAGAAGGCAAGCACCACAACCACTACAAGTCCTGTCAAGGAAGACCCTCTTTCTGGCTGTACCTATGCCTCTAATGGGACTCTAGTCCGGAAGGAGGACTTGCAAGTATTTGAAAAGGCCCTACAAGCTATGACCTCTGCTCCTACTAGTACCACCAAAGCCAAGAAATCCAAAAAGTAACCTCCTGGGTCGTAAGTTGCGTTCCTCTTCTCGCCTACGGCGTCTTTGAAGGGGGGGTAATGTCAGGATCACCATTGTGCTTTACACAATATTGTGTATTTGGGTCTGGCTGGGATCAAACCTGAGTTTCCTGCATCCCAGTCAGTATCCTTGCATTGAGCTCCACGCATCTTTGACTGTTTCTGGTTGTTCTTGGTATCCTGTAGTCTGAGCCTGTTCACCTGGAATGTGCACACCTGTTCCTGGTTCCTTGATGATTGGCTGAGACTCCCTATTTAAACCCCGCAAGGCTGGTTCTCGTGGTCAGATCGTGTTTCCTGTTCCTGTTTGGTTTCACTGCTGTTCATCTGACTCCTGCTTTTGATCTCCTGCTCGTCTACTGTTTTCGCCTGATTGCTGCCCGTCCTGACTTCTGATTCTGATACTGACTACTCTTCTGGATATCCTTTGTCTGTACTGCGTTCCAGGAAGCACTGGTTATTTCAGCCCCAGTGCACTGTGTCACAGCCTTGGGGATTTCTGTCCTGAGTCCCCTCGGTCTGTGTCGAATTGCAAAGGGTGCCTCAACTCTGCGTGCCGGACTCCCACTTCAGGTAAGATCCTTGACCGGCCGCCCCCTCACAGTGTGCCACCGGACCGGCCACCCGGTGGCACCTGCAGTCCCCAAATGCCGCCCCCAATCCAGCCCTGCCGCCGGGCCCCCTGAAGGCGGCCCTGACGGCGGGCCCCCCTCCCGGCCGGGCCCTCGGACCATGTCCGAAGTGCCCGACCGGTCAGTCCGCCCCTGATGCTCTTACAACAGACTATTAAAATACACTTTAGTTTATTTAGTTTTAAGCAGCATTTCATTTGTCTCCCACATTTGGAATGAGTGTAAGACTCAATGATCTTGTGGTACTGCGAAGTAGTGGTGAGCTTAACACAATATGGCCATATGGTGGAACTGAATCCCCATATCTGCTTCCTAAGAAGATGTTAATAAGTAGCCTTGAAATGTAAAAAAATATTTTTATGTGTGCGCTGTTCCTTAAACTGTACTATGTGGAATAGACTTTGAATTTACTTATATTCCCAACATTTCTCACTTTTGTGAATAACCCCAGTGAGAGTCAGGAAGCTTAATGCTGCAAAGAGTTTGAAGTGGTCATGGTATCAATGTTCCTTTTAAAGTATTTTCTCTTTCTGTTTGTTCAAGAGTTACAGGATATATCTATCTATAAAAGAAAAGTAAATACAGAGAAGAAACTTTAAGATTACAGGGCTTAGCGATAAAGGCTTTAAACGATTTTAGCTGTTCCCAGTTAATGTTGATATAATGCAAGCTGGGGAATATAGTGCAGGGAGTGGATGATTGTTTTAGGTTTGCCAAGTCTGCAAGGAAAAGGAATGAGGTAGTGCTGGATTCATGCCCTTATTGTGCAATTCATCACACCTACAACAACTCAAATGCAGAATAAATTAATAATCTTTTTGAAGTTTGAGTCATTGTAGTCGTTTTCTTCTTTTGATCGATGATCTTTATTGAAGCTCAGACCAAGCAGTTATATATTTGCAAAATTAAAGGGACACTATAGTCACCTGAACAACTTTAACTTAATGAAGCAGTTTTGGTGTATAGAACATGCCCCTGCAGCCTCACTGCTCAATCCTCTGCCATTTAGGAGTTAAATCCCTTTGTTTATGAACCCTAGTCACACCTCCCTGCATGTGACTTGCACAGCCTTCCATAAACACTTCCTGTAAAGAGAGCCCTGTTTAGGCTTTCTTTATTGCAAGTTCTGTTTAATTACAATTTTCTTATCCCCTGCTATGTTAATAGCTTGCTAGACCCTGCAAGAGCCTCCTGTATGTGATTAAAGTTCAGTTTAGAGATTGAGATACAATTATCTAAGGTAAATTACATCTGTTTGAAAGTGAAACCATTTTTTTTTTTTTCATGCAGGCTGTATCAATCATAGCCAGGGGAGGTGTGGCTAGGGCTGCATAAACAGAAACAAAGTGATTTAACTCCTAAATGACAGTGAATTGAGCAGTGAAGTTACAGGGGAATGATCTATACACTAAAACGGCTTTATTTAGCTAAAGTAATTTAGGTGACTATAGTGTTCATTTAAGTTACATTTAAAATAAAGGTGTTTTGCCTTGAATATTCCCATTGCCTTGAATCATCATTATTTTATCAAGCATACCTCTTTCACAACAGGAAGAGTGCTTCAGTCTGGAAAGACTGTGGTCTATGGGGTCTATTCTTCTTCAATAAAACCCTGTCCAGCAGTAGCTTCTTGGATAAGTCATTTATCCCCTGGAGACAGAGCTGATGTAAAATGTTGTAAATCCCTAGCAATTAAAGGAATATACCAAGCTCCGTAATCACTACAGTGCTCTGTAGTGGTTATGGTGCCATAAGTGATAGTCTCCTAAGGTATTCGTTGTCAATCTATTTGGGAATGATTTGTAACCTGCTGGTGGACTGCCAGGCTCTGATCATCAACTAATTGAAACTGTTTACTGGAGCTTCCGGCTCTACAAGGGGCCGTGACCAACTCCAAGCGGACACCATGTATGTTATCAAACCATTCACAAATGGTTTAACTACTTACCTTGGAAGGCCTTGAGGGCACTCCTGATACCATAGCCATTACTGCACTGTTTTCATTTCAAACTGAAATGCCTGTTGATTGGCATTTGTTAAACACTGCTTATTTGACTCTCTGGGATGATACCCTTACATCTGGCTGTAATTTATTATCCATGAGACAGACTCTCGAGTCACATTCATTGCAACATTTTTCTTGTTTATTTTTCAGATCATTTTTTTCTTTTTTTTTTTTTCCTTGTAGCATTCTGTGTTACTGTTTAACTTGTTGGGGCCTTGTTTTTGAATACTTAATAATTTTTTTTTTTTGTAGACTTTTTTTTCTTTCTTAAAATCATGCAAGAGAATTGTACTGACTTGCCCACTTTAAGTGTGTGGTACTTTACATATGAGCGTGTGTGTTTATATATAGCGTTATGGATATAATCTGGTTTTAGGTCTGCTAAACCCATTCTACCAGATAAATCCTATATACTGCTGACCACCCATAATACACCATATTCATGTGCACTTAAACTAGAACCAGATCCTCCTCCTTTTTTTTTTTTTCTTTCTCCAATTTCCCTTGACCCATGGAAACGGTATGTGTAGATGGCCAATAAGTTCATTCTAAGGTTGGTGCAATTCGTAATGGATTTCCTCATTCTTGGAGCAACCTGAACCTTAACATAAACAGCCTGCATGAAGATTCAGTGTCGGTTTTCAACGGGAACTGAAAAAACTAAAATACTGCTAGTGTTTCAAAAAACAAGCAAACTTTCCCTAAAATTGAAAAACAACACTACAACCGGATTTCCGGACATACTTTTCAATCTTCTCTGTATAACGACCTATAGTATATGTTGCAGACAGGCCCCTGCAAGGGCCACTTCTTGTTGTTCAGTGATACTTGGTGTTGAAACAAAAATAAAGAAATTAAAAAACAAAAACAAAAAAACAAGCAAACTTTCAAGTGACCCTGTCTGTTATGTATTGGTCTTCATGAAGAAGGGGAAGGTGCATGTGTGACTTTGTAAAGACGTTCATACGGGCTTGTAGACCATTCAGTAAAAGCTTCCTGAAAGTAGCGGTGGGATGGTGATAATATAGAAATATCCCAATGCTTCCTTTTTTGTAGGATGTAGTTAGTGGCGAATAATTTCTTGTACATTAGTTGACTATGTATTCCATCAAAATCTTGAGTCCTATATCGGCGGTACGTCTAAATATGGCTGCACAGATGACTAAGATGCATATAGTTTCATTAACTTCTGCATTACCAATGTTAGATAGAAACCGCATGGAACATTCTTTGTTATGGGATAAATCCTTTCCTGGCTCTATTTGTAATTGCAGTTGAGTTAAGAAAAACAAAAAAATAAAATGAAAGATTTTAAAATGTCATACTGCTAGTAGAAGTGCTAGCAAATGTTTTGAATGGGGTAGGAAATTAGGTAAAACTTTTTTTTTTTTTTTTTCTCACTGCCGCAGAGGTCTGCCGCACTGGCCCCACCCCCAGACCCACCGTTGTCTGACATCAGAATTGATGATTTCAGTGAATCCAATGTTTCCTCATAGGGAAAGCATTGGATTGGCTGAGATCACAAGGAGGTGGGGCCAAATACCCTCACTGTGCAGCACTGCCCTCAGGAAGCACCTCTAGTAGCCATCTGAATAGTGGCCATTGGAGTTATCCCTGGGCTGTAATGTAAACTCTGCCTTTTCTCTAAAAAGACAGTGTTTACAGCAAAAACCCTGCAGGGACTGACTATACTCACCAGAAAAAATACAATAAACTGTAGTTGTTCTGGTAACTTTAGTGTCTCTTTCGCTTTTATTGGGCATAACAAATAAAACAAATGTGGAAGTAGATGTTCAAAATACAATTTACAGTGTTAATTGTCATGATTAATACAGTCAGTCTAGCAAATTATCCACAAAGAAAATAAAGGTTTGTTACTAATAGTTAATTAACACTTCAAGGCTCGGTAGCAAGGCATCTCAGTTAAATGTAACTGTGAATAAAGAAACATGCCAAATGATTGCGTCTATAGTAGAACCCTCAACATGAGGACAAGTTCTGTTTATCCTCCTTGTATGTGTACAGTTCTATCTCAGGGACACTTATGCCTCGTTTCCACTGAGCGGTATGGTTCGGGTCGGTACGGTTAGAATGGTCCAGCCTATTCAGGTGAGCGTTTCCACTGCAGGTTGGACCCCCAGGGGGCATGCGGGGTTTAGACCAAATGCCTAGCGTGTCATTTGTCGTGAGCATTGACATTTTCCTGTCCCCCGATCAATGGATTGTATAGTGTGACACCAGTAGCTCCGCCCTAACTGTACTGTGCCATTTCCTATGGACCTACATCTGAAGGGGGCCCAGGAATGGTGCGGTTCGGTTGTATGGGCCACTTTCATAATGGAAACACTCAAAATAGCGTACCAGACGTACCGACCCGAACCGTACTGCTCAGTGGAAAAGGGGCATCAGTTTTCAGTTAGTTTGTTGAATGAACTGCTGTGCGGATAGGTGCCCTCAAAGGCACAGTAATTTCAGGTCATACATTAGTGAAAATATATCTCCTTATCACTTTTAAGACTCCCCATTAAGACTTTCACAATTGCTGCATTTGTTTATGACCAATAAAAATTTACTTTTTTACTTTGGTTTCACTTTCTCTAATACATTAGCAGCTTTTTTTGGGTAGTGTGTGTAATTAACCTGTTGGTATAGCTTATGGTGGTGGAAATTCCCTGGAATTTTAGAAATAAATACGTTCTGTGAATAACCGCTTCACGTGTTCTGTCAATAGAAGCTCACCTGTAAAGGCTGAAACCGTATCACCTTATTTAAATAGGAAGGAGGAAAAGGCATGCAGTTATTCATTATAGGGACACGCTACACACCAACATGACTTCATTTTATTCCTTACAGATGTGTCTCCTCACAGTAGGAAGATTTGGCTACAGTGTGGATTACACGCATGTTTAACCCTTTAAGGGCCATGTCTATGACATATACATATGAGACATTATTGTACAGCAGAGTTAAATCCCTGCTGGTATCAAGGAGCCCCAGTTATCACTGGATACCTAAGGGTCCCCTTTGTTAGCTGGGAACACAGCAGCTCCAGACTGACAGATGAACTATGAATCACATTCGTATTATTTAAATACTGCTACTGAGTGGTAACGCTCATCCATTGGTAATTCTTTTACTAATTGGTAATTCAATCTCACAGAAACCTCCAATGTCTTGACCTAGAGCAATTCTCCACTAACCTCCAAACTCTCATTTTACCTATCTCAAACTTCATCTGCCCTAGTTCTGCAATCTCCTTCTGCAATTCCACCCTCTCCTCTCAACTAGACATCATGGCACCTTCTACACTTAAATGCAGCACGCGCCCCAACTACAACCTTGTCACACCAAGTTGACTCGATACCTCTGTGCATCTGACTTTCTTCACTATAAATGTATGCTGTGCTCTTACAGCGTGGCTCTTTCCTCTTCAAAAGTAAATTCCTTCAATACCCTCATAACCACACTGTCCCATGAACCCAAATGACTATTTTACACTTTTAACTCTTTTCTTTGCCTTGTTGCTCCTATTGCCACAAACTTTGCAACTCACTTCACTGACAAGATATCTACAATCTGGGAAGATATATCCCTCATCTCTCTCCTTCCCCTTACAATACTCACTGCTTCTGCTGTTCTATGTTCATTCACACTCGCTACAGCGGAAGAGGTTTCTGCTCTGCTCCGGTGCTCCCGCCCCACCACCTGATCCTATTCCCCTGCATCTAATCTGTACTCTGTCTCATTCTCTTGATCTGCCTCTTACTAAAATTCTCAAACTCTCTCTCCCATCTGACATTTCCATCACCCTTCAAACATGCAACTAACCCTGATTCTAAAGACCTCCTTAACCTTTCCGCTGCTTTTGACACGGTTGATCATCAACCGCTTCTTCTCATCCTCCGTAATCTGTCTACGAGTTATTGCTCTCTCCTGGTTCTCCTCCTACCTCTCCCAGCGCTCTTTTAGTGTTTCTTTTTATGGCTCTTCCCTCAACCCCTGTTGGTGTCCCCCAACGTTCAGTCTTTGGTCCCCACCTGTTCTCGATCTATACTCCCTCCCTTGGTAAACTCATGAGCTCCTTTGGCTTCCAATATTATTTCTATGCGGATGACACGCAAATCTATCTGTCCTCCCCTGATCTCTCCCCTATTGACTAGTGTCTGTGACTGCCTCTCTGCTATTTCTAATTGGATGGCTGCTCACTTCCTTAAACTCAACCTATCCAAAACAGAACTTTTGGTCTTTCCTCCCACAAGTGTTGCTACTTCTGTTTTTGTCTCTGTAGCAGAATGGGCTTCGCCACAATACATTCCTTTTGCTAAGGGCTGTCCACCCACCCTATTTGCTACTGTATTTCAATTAGGAAACAAGTAACAATGTAATATTAACTCTCGTTCATCTGGTTGTTTGGTAAGAATCCCATTTCAACTATTTTACACTGTATTGTTCGACAAACTAACAAACTACCGAACAACCAGGCCACCCAGGAGAGGAGCGTGGCATCAATTGACCTCCCTAACTTGGTTCACACTGCTTTAATTGCCAACCGCACAAACTAACTTGGTGTTCCCTGGGTGGCCACCGTTTGTCATACGAACACGTGGCGGCGGCCATCTTAACATACGAATTGCACCAGCAGTGTTTGGTCGTTGAGTGTCTGGAACCCAAATCGGACATGCGACGGTACGTACACTGCAGAGACTTCCATCCTCGCATAAGTTCGTGGGAACTCAAGGGAACATAGCGGCGTTCGGTAAAAGGAACCATACAAATGGGGGACATTAAACGAACGAAGACACAAAACATTCTGTTGTATATTTTCATTTATTTTAACCTCCCGAACGGAGAACGACCGCAAACCCGAAACTCATGGAACTATTCTCGGCTTACACCTCGTGTGCGGTCGGTAAAACTAAGACATCCATAAAACTTTTGAACCCCTGAACCGATCTGGGTGATTTTTTTCAGTATGTTGCTCCCCCAGATTGGGGCTATCAGGGGATGTTGGGATTGTGAATGTAGGATATGTTTTTGGAGGGTTTTCATAAAAGTATGAACATTTTTATTTTTCTGTTTTGGGATATTTGAGTTGATACAGTAATTAACTCAATTATGCCCTGAGCAGAGGGGAGGGATTGTATGCAGTGTATGGGAGTGTCTTTTTATTTTTAATTTTTTTATTCTTTATTTATGACAGTGCAAAAGAGTACACACAAGTTTATTATGCCAGCATTGGCAAGCTCTGCAGTAGTATACACTTCTGTACTATGGCATGTCATGGGGCTAAATGTGCACTTTTTAATTTTTTGTAATTTTTTTTTTTTAAATGAGACAAAATTGTAACACGCTTGATATAATAGATTTAGGCTAACATGTCTAGATACGAGGTGCCAGTAGAACAGTATAACTTGCAAATAATACTAGACAAGGTGGGTATTTGGTTATTGCATGCTAGTGATAACATGCTAGTCAGATCAAAAGGGCAGAGGGACAAAAGGGGTAAAGAAAAAGGAAAACAGGGATTCATCAGCAATATTACACAGCAATAGGCTCAACTCTGTTTTTACTGGTTGATGTATATTTTTATCGGTGCCCCACAAGGTCCACCTGGGTGGTAACCTTTGGGGCAAAAACCTGCATAAAAGGCCGGCCTAGCCTTCAAAGGATGAGTTCTGTTCCTAATACTGAGTGTCGTCCAGTTATTGGGAAGGGTGATGGGATATTCTTGTAGCATCTTGTTTTTATGCCTGCTCTCTTGAAGTTTCCTGTTTGTTGGAGTAACCAGCGGAGAAGAAGACCTGCTACCACTGCTCTCCGCTACAGTCTCCTTCCATGTTAATGATGCTACCATCAGCTCCACCACACAGGCTCTCTGCCTAGGTGTTCTCTTTGATTCCGACCTCTCCTTAACCCCTTATGTCCAGTCTATTGCCAAATCCTGCCGCTTCCATCTCAAAAACATTGCGCGCATCTGCCCCTACTTGACTCCATATGTGGCTAAGGTGCTGGTCCATGCCACTGTCCTCTCTCACCTTGACTGCTGCAATCCGCTTCTCAGTGGTCTTGCGTGCTCCCAACTTGCCCCATTGCAAACTATAATGAATTCGGCGGCGAGGTTCATCTTCCTGTCTGCCCACGCCTCACCCCTCTGTCAGTCCCTGCATTGGCTTCCCGTAAGATATAGGGCTCAATATAAAATTCTGGTTCTTGCTTTCAAATCTCTACATAATGCTACTTCCACCTATCTATCCTCCTTAATATATGTACTCCCACCTCTGATGCTCACCTTCAAGACTTCTCTAGGGCTGCACTGTTCCTGTGGAACGCCCTTCCCTTTTCCGTTAGACACCCACCCACTCTTTCAAAAAAATCATTAAAAACTCACTTTTTCACAAAAGCATATCAGTTAAACTGTTAATGGCTCCCAACTGATTCATCTCCTCCAACTGTCATTAAAAAAAGAAAAGAAAACCCACACTGTCCTAAGTGAATATTATTCTACCAATCTTCTTCCCTACACTTCCCTTACCTTTTTGTGTCACATTACCCTACTCTCTAGCATGTAAACTCATTGAGCAGGGCCCTCAACCCCTCTGTTCCTGTACGTCAAACTTGTCTTGTTACAATTACATGTTTGCTAGTCCACCCATTGTAAAGCGCTATGGAATTTGTTGACGCTTTATAAATATAAATATAACAATTCGGAGTCTGCCCCATGATGCGGGAGACCTCAGTGTCAGAAAATACCCTGTTGAACTCTTCTTGCATGCCCCCCTGCTCAGGGATCAATGCTGGCCCTTCCGAGCTGCCCAGCACCAATCACAATTTCAGGAGTTGCAGCATTAGGAGACCGCCATGTCCTGCTGCAGTCATACAGTACACAATGCTCTGTAATATGTTAGCTGGGAAATCCTTCTCTGATGTCAGTACTGAGGTCAGTAGAGGGAATTCCTTGGAGGTGGAATTAGGGCAGCATTATGGGAAGGTTTAAGGGTAGGGTTAGGTGTAAAATGGATTAGAGATGGGTGAGTGGTAGGATTATGTGTTGAATTAAGGGATGGATTAGGGGTAGGATTAGGTAAAGGATTAAGGGATGTGTTAGAGGTAGGATTATGTAAAGGATTAAGGGATGTGTTAGAGGTAGGATTAGGTGATGGATTAAGGGATGGGTTTAGGGGTAGGATTAGGTGTAGGATTAGGGGAATAGTATACATGTGAGGTATCCTTGTACTCCAGAACTGTAGCAGAATACCGATATGGGATGATTACAGTAGTGGGATAAGCATGGCCTGTGAATTACCCCAAAATAAAACTTGATAAAAATGATAATATATACTTTGACCAAGGTTTGTGATAAAGGTTACATGAAAAGTGTAAAAAAGCTATTAGTTAAATAGCCTGGTTCATGTACTTTATAACATATAGGTGTAGAGGTTTGGATTATTCGGCGTAAAAAAATAAAATGTACGTTTTGTTTTTTTCTATTTTTTTATTTTTTTTTATAATTCTTTTTTTCTAGTGCTTGATGACAACAGAGATAAGCCAGTATACAGTAGAGAGTTTGCAATGCGTTAGCATGTCAAGTCGAGTTAAGTGTATACATTTTTATGAAAAGAAGAAAATAGACAATATAGTGTATAAATAGGCTGGATAAACTCAGATTAGCGCGTCCGCCAATGCCTCGGTTCAGGATTGCAGGGTAGTCTCAGAGTATTGCGGCAAGAATGGGGTGCATAAGGGTGCCTTCTGTCCTCCGTCTTGAGGGGATCTGCCGAATGTTCCATTCATGCAGTGTTGGGCGTCTAAGTACAGCGTGAGTATATGGAGCAAGCCAGAGAGGACTGGGATAACCCTCATCGGTCTATAGGAGGTGGGGGTGTGGGGACAGCACTAGTCTGATTCCACACCGCCTGTCCGTATCGGGGCTGATGTGTGCTATAGCCATTGCTGCCGCTCAGGATTAGTGTGAGTTTGAGTGCATGGCATTTTTTTTATGTAGTAAAGGAACCCATCTAACAAAGTTTAAATATATATGATTCCTTTAAACTGCCACTGACAAGAGAATTGCACATCATTTAAGGCCAAAATATCCACATCGGAAACTATATCCAAGTGAGCTTCCCCTCTCCCTCCCCACACACAAGGTATTCCAGCCTAAAATTTACATTTTCTTTGTTTTCATTTTCCATTTTATTGTCTTCACTGGAAATGTTCTGTTTAAATCAATAAATAACCTGGGGGAAAAAAAATAGAAAAATCACTCCAATTAGGGTAAACTAGCAGATTCATTTGTCAAGTAACTGAAATTCCACTGATAGTTCTTGCAGAACTGAACAATTTAACAGTTTTTTGTCATATAGAATTTCAGAAAATGTGAGTAGGAAAGGCTGAGAACAAATATTCATCATTTACAGTACGAGAATGAAGCCTGCCGGAGAGACAGTGACATCTATCACATTGAACAAGCCTGATTGTAAATGTCATATTGTTGCTAATTGTGCTACTCCATCCCTGCCTACCAGGCAAGCCTCCCCGCACCCACGCTCTCTCTATCTCTCCGAGATTGGTGCTCCCGATCTCCAGTTTAGAACAGAGACATCTGCCTACAGATATTCTGCACTAATATATGAGCTTATACCTGCCTAATTACCACTATTAGCATTTATAGCTTTTTCTCGCTAGGTTAGCATTGCTGTCTCAGCACAAATCATCACGCTAAGCAGACTCACACTGGGTGGTTGTGTAGAAACTTCGGTTATTAATGCCTTCGTTCCCTGCTGTATTCCAGGGACTAGGGCTGACTTCTCTAAATTTTAAAGGTGCGTGCAATCATTTTCTGGTTTCTGTTAATCTGATGTGACTGTTCTGATTTCAAGATAAATGTGTTATTTATTATTTTGTTTTGTTTTTTGTTTTTTTTTACTTTTTGTTTTATGCCATTTACACTCTGACAACAGAGGATTTAAAAAACAATAGGCATTTCGGTAGTCACATGTACCTTTGTTTTTAGTTTTGTGTTACTGGACCAGTGATCTACAGGTTCTTAGATGTCTAGCTGTGGTGGCATAGACCACCTATTAATTCTGTTAATAGGTTCAAAACAGTGCTTAACCCCTTTAGGACCAATCACTGTCTATACAGTTGTAACATTATAGAAATCTGCAAGAATGTACTGACACTGATGCAGGATCTATATATTATTTATTTATTTATTATTATTATTATTATTATTATTATTATTAGAGGGATACTATAGGGTCAGAAACACAAACATGCATTCCTGACCCTATAGTGTTAAAACCACCATTTAGGTGGCATGCCCTTCCTTAACCCCTTTAAAGAAGGTACAACTTAACATTTTTCCTCCGCTCCCGATCCGCCTCCTTGCTGTCATTATCAGACTTTATTATTTTTACCCAATCCAATGAAATAGGATGCAGGCTTTAAACAACGCATCTCTGAGGAAAATTCAGCGTCTCCCTGCAGAGCGTGGAGACCCAAAAAGCACCTCCAGTGGCCATCTGAGGAGTGGCCAGTGGAGGTGTCTCTAGGGGGCAGTGTAAGCACTGTCCCATAACATACATTGTTTATGTAACTTGTTTACCTGTGTACAGTATCTTCCTAAATACTGTGGTTATTGTGACGGAATGCCGTCACTGAGTACCGTGCCCACTCTCTTGCCTGCTTATTGTCTTCAGGTCATCCTGCTGGGGATCTCCCTATCTGTGTGGTCCCCTTGTTCGCAGATTATGAAATGGATGTCTGCTTATTTTAATGGTTCCAGAGTGGCTGAGGGAAGGAATTAGCAGAGCTAACCGATCGGGTTACCCGTGGTCCACTACAGTTATAAAATAAATAATGCCATTTAAGTATAATTTAACAGCTGGACTGTATAGTACTACTGATGCTTAAAAAGATGGAGATTTTGTATTGGCATAAGGTCTTCAGGGGCTTAATTTTTGATGATTGCAAAAATTTGAATGGTCTGTAAGGGGTTAATATTGTGTAATGGACTTTATAATTGAAAGCCTCAACTCTTCCCAAAGAGATTCATTGCAATAAACTTGAATATATATATATAACCACTTAACCAGTCACTGGAGTGTACTTTTATCTTGCACTTTATTTGTGGCCTCTCTTATGCTGAAGAATTTTCTAAGTAGCCCATTTAGCATATTGTTGGCCCCGCTGTATGACTGCAAGGCCAAGCTTTTCAAAACACTTTCAAACACAGGATTGAGTGGCCGTCGAGAACCAACACATCAACCAGGCGGGTGCTGTATTAAAACCACTATAGCAGTACTCGATAGATTGTGATGTCTACTTAAGGTCAACTCAACCCTTGTAGAGTTTACTTCGATCCTTAAAGAAAAGCTCAGTCGCATTATCTCTTTGCTGTGGTTACTAATGCAGTCTGACGTTAACTTCTTCTTCAAAACCTCTGCAGTCCTCAAACTATATGTATTATTTTTAAAAAGAATTCTGTGCTTATCGGAGCTGTGTATCTACAACATCAGTTCAAGCTATTACCTGTGTCAGGAGGTGGTTGAATGAACAGATGCCCTACACTAAGCTCGAGGTTGGAACCATCTTTCTTGCGAAGGTTGATATATGTGTCTTGCGTCTGCAGAGGGCACAGCCCTGCTGGTGGTGCATTTATGATAAAATAGCAACCGAGTACAGCTGTTTGCTTGAAAGCTTTCTGCAGCAGGCGTCCATCGAGCAAATGGAGACACATTGCTTGACTGCTGGTATATGCATTTATTTTTTGAGCTTTTTTATGTCTCTTTATTTAAAGGAAAATAAATTATCAGGAGTTGGAAACTTTATCTGTGCTCTGCAGATTATTTCCAAATCCAGTGAGCATTTGAGAATTCTAATTGCTTTTCAGAACCATTGATTGCTTATAGAACATCAATTGCTTCCACTGTTTATTATTATTATTATTATTGCCATTTATATAGCGCCAACAGATTTCATAGCGCTTTACAATATTTTGAGAGGGGGGGGTGTAACAATAAATAGGACTATTATAAGAAAACTTACAGGAACAATAGGTTGAAGAGGACCCTGCTCAAACGAGCTTACAGACTATAGGAGGTGGGGTATTAGAAACATTAGGACAGGAAATATCAAGTAGGAGTGAAGCAGAGCTGGAGGAGAGAGCAAAGCACTGTCCCATAGGAGAGAGCAGGAGACAGGTATGTAAGGTAGAGATTACTCTGGGAGGCCATAAGCTTTCCTGAAGAGATGGGTTTTACGGCCCTTCTTAAATGATTGAAGACTAGGGGAGATTCTGATGGCAGTAGGCAAGCTATTCCATAGGAGAGAAGCCGCCCGCGAGAGGTCCTGCAAGCGCGAGTTGGCCGTACGGGTGCAAGCAGCAATCAGGAGGTGGTCACGGGCAGAGCGGAGGGTACGAGGAGGGCCATATCTATGGATTAGTGAAGAGATATGAGGGGCTAGAATTGTTCAGTGCTTTAAATGTATGGGTTAGCACTTTGAATTGACTCCTGTAGCATACAGGGAGCTAATGTAAGGACTGGCAGAGGGGTGAGGTGTGAGAGGACCGACTAGAGAGGAAAATCAGTCTAGCTGCAACAAACTGGATGTGAGACTCAAAGGTGAGACCAGAGTCAAGTATGACGCCAAGACAGCGTGCTTGCAGGGATGGACTTATGTGGATATCACTGACTTGAAGGGAGAGCGAGAGAGGAGGATCAGTATTAGGAGGAGGAAAGACAAGTAGTTCAGTTTTAGAGAGATTGAGTTTCAGAAAGCGTAAGCACATCCAGTCAGAGATGGAAGAAAGGCAAGCAGTGACACGTTGCAGGACGGCAGGGGAGAGGTCCGGGGAGGAGAGGTATATCTGAGTGTCATCAGCGTACAGGTGGTAGTGGAATCCAAAAGAGGCAATAAGTTTACCAAGACAGGCAGTATAAAGAGAAAATAGAAGGGGACCAAGGACAGACCCTTGGGGAACTCCAACTTTGACAGGACGAGGGGAGAAGGTATCCTTGGAAAAGGAGACACTGAATGAGCGTTGGGAGAGATAGGAGGAAAACCAAGAGAGGGCAGAGTCACAGAGACCGAGCGATTGAAGAGTTTGAAGGAGGAGAGCATGATCAACGGTGTCAAAGGCAGCAGAGAGGTCAAGGAGAATTAATATGGAGTAGTGACCTTTGGATTTAGCGGAGATTAGGTCATTAGTCACTTTGATAGTCTCAGTAGAGTGGAGAGGGCGGAAGCCAGACTGAAGAGGGTCAAGGAGAGAGTTGGAATTAAGGAAGCGAGACACACGGGTAAAGACAAGTCTTTCCAAAAGCTTTGATGAGAAAGGGAGCAGGGATATGGGACGATAGTTAGAAGGGGAGGATGGGTCAAGAGATGTATTTTTTCAGGATAGGTATTACAGTGGCATGTTTAAGGTCAGCAGGAACAGTGCCAGAAGAGAGAGAGCAGGTAAAGATGTGTGTTAGGGTAGGCACAAGGCAAGGGGAGAGAGATCTGATGAGGTGAGATGGGACAGGATCGAGTGGGCAAGTGGTGGGGCGAGAGTAATGGAGAAGCAAAGCCACCTCTTGTTCAGTAGCCGGGTAGAAAGTCTGGAGGGTAGGGAAAGCATGATTTACATGTGGTTGAGAAAGAGAACAGCAAGGAGGGGAGAATTGTTTCCTTAGCTGTTCAATCTTGTCGGTAAAGTAGCATGCAAAGCTATCAGCTGTAAGGTTAGTTTGGGGGATGGCCACAGCAGGGCGGAGAAGGGAATTAAAGGTGTCAAAGAGACGTCTGGGATTGCGGGAGCATGAACTAATGAGAGAGGAAAAGTATGACTGTTTGGTGAGGGCGAGGGCTGCGCTGTAGGAAAGCAACATGGAGAAAGTCTGCCTGGGTGCGGGACTTCCTCCAGGAGCATTCAGCACAACGGGAGCAACTCTGCAGATAGCGTGTTGATTTATTATGCCAAGGTTGGGGTCGTGTCCTCCTCGAGGTGCATGTTTGGAGTGGGGCTGCAGCCTTCAAGGCAGATGTGAAGGTAGTGTTATATGTGGAGATGGCCAGCGAGGGACAGGAGAGGGAAGGGATGGATAGCAGTTGTGAATCAATGTCAGCTGACAGCTGCTGGAGGTCAATAGAGTTAAGGTTCCTCCTGAGCTGAGGGGAGTTAGGCTGAGATTGTTGGGTGAGGGGGTAATTGAGAGCAAACGATAAGAGGTGGTGATCAGAGAGAGGAAATGGAGTGTTGCAGATATTAGATACTGTACATGAATAAGAGAAAATAAGGGAGAGGGTATTGCCAGCTACATGAGTGTTTAACTCTTTAAAGGCAGTAGTATGTGATGCTTGCCACAATAACAATGGATTTACCCAAAAATATGTTTCTGGTAAAGCTCAAAGTATTGTTATTTATTTTATTTATCTGTGTGTTTTTTTTTTTTTAATATATTAACAAAAGCAAACTGTGGCTAATTAGAAGGGTGCAGGAAAGGGTTTGGAATTGTATGAAATGTTAGATTCTCATAAATGCATGACTGATCTTAAATGAAGACATTATTTACGAAATGTTTGATTTGCATTAAGATTTGTCAGTTTATGTCATTCCCCACAAAGCTTGTGACTGGAATTCAGAGCGTTAAAGAGTTACTATAAGCCTATTGAGAGCGGGACCTTTCTGGCGTAATAATTGTCAGTAAAACCTGTAAAAATTAAATAAAAAGTTTTACTTACTTTTAAATCCAGAGTTAGGCAATGCTCCTGGCGTTTCTTTTCTGTGCCCCCTTCTGTTGTCACTAGGGCATCGCCTGGGTCCAATTAGACAAAATGGTCCAATCACGCCGGGTTTTAAAGTCTATTTTCAATGTGCAGTGCACGCTGACAACACATGTAGTTTATGCACAGAATTGATATAAGGCAGCCCGTAATAGAGTGTTTTGCTGCCAATACCACGGTGCTGGGGGTGCAACTTGCCACTGGCACATTATTGCCAATATCTCTGGATGTGCAGTGTTTCAAGATGACCACTTCAGATCACTTAAGTGGTCATGGTGGTTGGAGTAACCCTTTAAAAGCATTCTGTAGTGTGATGGTGATCGATTTTTAACGGGAAATATTACTTCTCTGGAACTTACAAAATTAAATTCAACATGGGGGTTTTCCTGATCTTTACAGCTTCTAAACATTTTCACTTTATTGTCTCTAATTCTGAACCTTTCGTTTGTTCATCTAGGTGTGACCCTGTCTTTAATCCCGACACAATGTCTGCTAAAGTCATCATCAGCAAGGAGGTGTTCTCCCCACAAGATGAAAGGATGTTGGGAGCCGTTCAAGTTAAACGAAGAACGAAGAAAAAGATTCCCTTCTTAGCGACAGGAGGGCAAGGAGAGTACCGCACTTACATTTGTTTATCAGGTACTGCTCCACACTCTCTACATGCTCCAAGAAAACAAGCAATACATCGTGCTACATTTTAAAAGTGTTTGTAGAATTCAGAATCTGTAGGTTTCCCGTTGGTGTTGTAGAAGTGAGAGACACAGGGAATTAAAACCCAAAGAGTATGGACCCTTTCTTCTAAAGGAGGATGCTTGCTAGTTTTACATTACAGTTTAGTGAGAAAAGATTTATTTATTTTGCAACATTCTGCATCTTAAATCTACCTCCTACCCATTCTATAATACCTGCTTCTTGTGGTTTACTTTATTTGGGTAAGTGATGTCACAGTGCCATTAGCCCTTCCATTTTGTTGCCACCACCTTAACCTGCAGAATTTCTTTAATAATACAATTGTACGTGCATTTTTTTAAGTCACAGCAACGACTTCATGGAGGCGTAATTCCGCTAACAGCTTTCATACGTAGAAAGCCGACAACTGAACTACAAGTCCCAGAAACCCTTGTTTAGAGCAAAACTGGGGCTTTTGAGAGAGAGCTCTTTGAAATGTTTTAGCCAAACCCTCCACGGAACTCCACTATACATACACAGGCAACTTTTTATGTTTACTTTTTGTATACTTTATCTTCAGAATAGAATTGGCCATGTATGTAATTGCATGTTGTCAGAGATAACATACCCTCTATCTTTTGTAGTCTGTCTGATTTGTGTGAATCTCTCAACAAGTTAACCTATGACCTTCTCAATCCTTTCCTTAGTATGGATCTCCAGTGTCTGACTATTTTTTCTGATTGTGTCTGAATACTACACTATAATTCAAGTCTTTTTTTCTGACACAAACTCAATGCTGATGTTACTTTCCCCACGCCTCTTTCTTGAGCTCCAAGTTTCTGAATAATTTGCCTCCCTAATGAGACTGTTTTATTCTATTCTTTAGATTTAATGACTCGGAAGTAGAGTTTTGAGGTTATTTCGAGCAGTTAAAGGATTTAATTTAGTCGCATAAGCAAAATTAGCAAAGGTACAGATATCCCTGTAGCAATTTACTGAAAAGGCTCAAACGTATGCAAAAATCATTAGAAGTAAAATAAAAATATTAAAAGCTCTATAACCTGAAGTGGCAGTACGTTATGATTGTAATGAATTTAAAAAAAAAAAAGCAAATATAATTTTTCTGGATATTTGCTCCTTCTGCAGAGAATAAAAGCAAATCCATGAGCACATTTTTATGATTGTCATGTAAAAGTATTTAACATATTTTTACGACACAATGCACATTCATTTTATATATCTTTTGCTTCAGTAATAAAAAATTATATTTGATTTATAGAATTTAGCATTCTGTTTACTTTTCACAAGTATAAAATAGTGTATTAAATGGGCACTGCTTGTCCATTGAACTTGCGTTGGCGCTTGGTCTATTTGTGAGTCATAACAATCTACTTGTTCTGAGACACAAAATAATATCAAACTGGGTCCCCTGCCCAGAACCCTGAACATTGATAGGGTCATTCAGTAAACTCTAAATTTTTGTAAATATATTCCATAACGGAAATGCAAATTTAGTACTTGTAATTCCCACTTTAGAACTGCTGATGAAATGTTGATGTTTATCTGCTACACCGTTTTCATGTGTAGTCTCTACTTACTTGCTAAACTCTCCTTTCCTTTTAAAGTCTACACTTTATGCTGGAGTCTACATGTGTACGAAAACCCAACACTCACTGATAGGCTCTTAAATCTAGAGTATACCTTTAAAAGCAGAGCTCAGATTCATCTTTACATGATCAAAATAAATTGTATTAAACACTATCTAAAATATTGCTGTACACGAATATTGCTCTGGCTGTGGGCCTCTGGGTTCCTGCCAGTTTCTTTTTTGGTTAGTATCAGGCACAATGATATTTGGCAGCCAGATTTAGTTTCTATGTCCTACACTGGCAGACTGAATGGATCTGTCCCAGTAGAGATTCAGTTTGAACAAAATAGTGTTTTTTCCGTGGGCGTAGGCCAATATTTTCAAGGATTCACCCATCATGTCTTATGCGCATGGATGAGAAAGATCTAAATTAAGTTGAAGCTACTTGTAACATGTGGCACTAATTAGATTGCTCAGTTTATGGAGTGGGAGGTGTGCTTACATTCTGTTTCAGCTCTTTGTTACGTCTTACAAAGCTCTGTTTTATGCGGTAATAATGAAGGCAACTGCTTAGAATAATAGCATTTTTAGTAACTCATCAGATGCATATCAGCCGTTAGCCCTTAGTTATTTTGTGGCCTAACAGGTTTCCAAGTATTAAGTCAAAGTATAGTTTGATAACCTGACTGGAACGAATATTTTTGTGAGATAACTTGTAGGCTAAAGAAAAAAAATGTTTCTGATGCATAAATATTGTTCAGAGCATTACACAATAAATTGCGAATTGTAATCCAAAAGGCTAAGTGTAGGCTAACATTGCTAATTAGTAAACAACACGATAATACAAGGTGCTATATGTACATCCATATCTTATGCTTACATATGTCCTAATAGGATTAATGCTGATTTGTGACTTTCTGTTACATTTTACACTGCACAAAAACCTGATGAAATAGCAGTTATTTTGTTCTATTACATAAGCAAAGACTAAACTAATGTAATTTTACCACTTTTGCCTTAAAAGCTTAACCCCTGCCTTAAAGGACCACTCTAGGCACCCAGACGACTTCAGCTTAATGAAGTGGTCTGGGTGCCAGATCCCTCTAGGATTAACCCTTTTTCTCTTATAAACATAATAGTTTCAGAGAAACTGCTATGTTTATATAGGGTTAATCCAGCCTCTAAAGCCTCTAGTGGCTGTCTCGTTGACAGCCGCTAGAGGCGTTTGCGTGCTTCTCACTGTGAAAATCACACTGAGAAGACGCCAGTGTCCATAGGAAAGCATTCTGAATGCTTTCCTATGAAACAGGCTGAATGCGCGCGCAGCTCCTGCCGCGCATGCTCATTCAGGAGGAGAGGAGGAGGAGAGCTCCCCGCCCCGCGCTGGAGAAAGAGGAAAGTTTAACCCCTTCCTCTCCCCAGAGCCTGGCGGGAGGGGGTCCCTGAGGGTGGGGGCACCCTCAGGGCACTATAGTGCCAGGAAAACGAGTATATTTTCCTGGCACTATAGTGGTCCTTTAAAGTACTACATTTACTTACATTTTTATTTACAGTTTTTTTTCTGAGCAAAATGATTCATTTTAATTAAACATCTGAAATCCTTTTGTATGCAATCAATGAATTTCCATTTCTTTGTTTATGTATGTAATGTAGAATTTCGGATGATTCACTGAAGTGAGCAAGCTTTCAAGGCATATAGTCCTTCCTTATTACCCTCTTAATTGTTATCACGCTGTCCCTTTTCTGTGATATCAGAGTGTGCTGGAGATATGAATTCATAACAGACCTTTCAGCCATTATTGTGTGATTTCACCTGCACTTAATGTGTTTCATAAATTAGTTTATTTAAATAACATTTGTGATCCCTCTGAATAACTTTCCCACATGCATACATTTTTATCAAGTGGTTATACTATCCAAGTATTGTCAATGTACTTCCAGATATTCCATGTTATACTAAAATATCCCCACTTTTGCCGTGTGAAATTTAAAAAAGTATAAGCCCTTTTTTTGCACAATAGGGATGCAAATCTACACACAATCCACATATCTATCCAGAATTCTAGACTCCCTTTCAAAGACTCAGCATGGGGCTTTGCATGCCAAAACAGAGGTCAGCACATCTTATCTTTTCATTCATATGCACAAAATGGCGGCCACCCAGTGAAGCATTCAATTAATTAGTTCCTTTGCGGTTTTTCATACAATATACATAACATTCTAATGGGTCTCTGGGGTGGTCACGGTTCGGGAGCCGAACGAAATAAACAAAATAAAAATCCATACGAATCCAGAAATGCGAAAAGAGCTGAAAGTTAAGGGGATATTCCTTCACAAATAGTCTTTTAAAATGATACCACAAAGCTGCCATTAACTGTGTGTGAAGAGCGTGTCCTCTTTTTGTCATTTTGCAAAAAGTGCAGATTTCAATAGAAATTTACACTATTCTAAATTAACTTGGTTACACCCCCCTTGACTTTCAAGCAGACAAAATGTAATGTTACTTCCTGGTTTGTGTAGCTCAATGCAGCTAAACTTAAAAGGCAGCTATTGCTTAGAGCACCTGCCTTGCAAAAACCTCGCCTTGCACTGCACTGGAAAGTCTGATTGGACAGTTACAGAAAGTCTGGGCTGGGTTAGAGAGGAATGGCTTGCAAATGCAGCAGACAATAGAACTGTGGGTTTTGCAAGCTGTTTTTATATACACCACCAGTGAAAAAATTTATAATTAAATGCATGCAAGTTTTTATTTGGGTATATCTATTACACAATGATTTTTATTTATTTTTGTATTTGGGGAGTGAAGTCCCACTTTAAACGGCTAGAATTCTAAATTTGGGTTAAACAATGAGGCTCTCATAACAGAGCTGGAGAGGGGAGACCATTGGCATGGCACTGCTCTGTGCTGTGTCATTGAATGGGTGAGAATAGTAATTGTTACACATGCCTTGTCAGGTTATGTTAACACTGGTTAAAGAGAGTTTACATTTAATAATAATGTGTTGATAGGGCATTATGGGGAAATAATGGGTAATAAAAAAACAAGTTGCCAAAAATAATGCAACAAAAAGGAAGAAAACAGAGTACATCATATATTTAATGCGTTCCAAGAAAAATTTAACTTGTTATACAGACTGAATGATGAGAGTACCTGTAAACCAAAAGAAGGAACAGCATGTAGGTAACGTAAACAAGGAGGGGGTTTGGCAGGAGTCACACTAGGTGGGCACAATTTACAAACATTAGCTGTAGGTAGTTAAAGGGACACTATAGTCACCAAAACAACTTTAGGATAATGAAGCTGTTTTCGGTTATACATCATGCCCCTGCACTCTCAATGCTTAATTCTCTGCCACTTAGTTGTTAAATCACTTTGTTTGTGCAGCCCTAGCCACGCCTCCATGAACGTGACTTGCACAGCCTTCCTAAACACTTCCTTTAAAGAGTCATCTAATGTTTACACTTCAATTATTTGCAAATTTTGAATAATTTAAAATGTATCTCCTGCACAGTTAATAGCTTGCTAGACCCTACAGGAGCCTCCTGTATATAATTAAGTTCAATTATTCTTATAGTATTTACAGTAAGTGAGCCCCTTGTGAATGCGAAAAGAACAAGACCACTGGTCATAATTAGGAATGGGTGAGAATACAAATTGTTGCACAAGCATCTATAAACCCTGTGCTCTATGTGGACACACCCCTATTCATGAACCAAAGCATATTGAAAACACTTTATTTGGACATCATTTCAAACCCATTTTCTTAAAAGGGCATTGAGGCAAGTCCTAGCGCTGTTTTAGAGGGTTGACATTCCTAGAGAACAAATTTGAGTTGCAAATAAGAAAAGAATATTGTTCTGTAGTTTGGATAAGGTCACAAAGAAACTTAAAGAAAAGCTGGTATAAAATGTTATTCCCTCCGCTACCCGTGATGTTTGATTTAAATGTGCTTGCAGCGTGCTAGTGCATATCTTTCGGCATTGTCTAGTATGACTCTGATTCGATATTCCCCTGCTGCAGTAAACTTTGCTGCAAATTGACAAACTACATTGCTCATAGAAGCTGTAAAGTGATCAGCTTTATATGAACACTTTACTACAAAAATGGGCGGGTGTAGGGAATCACGGTTCAGTAGATATACACCAATTAAAGTATGCATGCATTTCTTTGCAAGCATGTTGTCATTGGGGATATATCTAAAAAAAAACAAAAACAAAAAAAAACCTTGCAACAGTCTTATGACCGCAGCCTTTGCAAGCTCTCCCTCCCACCCCCCAGCCCACAGTTTTGGTCTATGTTGGCAAAATGTCCAATCAGAGGCTCCTCATTGAGCCCCATCCAAGAAAAAAACTTTCCCTCCCAGGATTGATCAGTGGCTTTACATTCCTTGAAAGGGGATAGTATAAGCATCAAAAAAACTTTAGCTTAATGAAGCAGTTTTGGTGTATAGATTATGCCCCTGCAGTCTCACTGCTCAATTCTCTGCCATTTAGGAGTTAAATTACTTGTTTCTGTCCATGAATCTCCAGCTACACCTCCTCTGGCTGTGACGGACACAGCCTACATTAAAAGGCTACTTAAATTGTTTAATTTTCCATCGGATTTTTACTTGCTTGGAAGCTTTTATCTCCAGCTCTGTAAACTGAACTTTAATCACACACAGGAGGCTACTTCAGGGTCTACAAGGCTATTTTCCAAGCAGGAGATATGAAAATCTAAATTAAACAGTGTGCAATAAAGGAAGTTTAAAAGGACACTATATGCACCCAGACCACTTCATCTCATTGAAGTAGTCTGGGTGCAGTGTCCCTAGCCCCTTAACCCTGCATGTTTACGCTGCAGTGTTAAGACTGCCTCTAGTGGTTTTCTTCCAAACAGCCACTAGAGGCGCTTCCTCTATTCAGATGGTTTAACTCCGTAAAACAATGCTGGACATCGTCATGCTTTGCACGGTGTGAAGTAAATCATCCGCAAATACATTTAACTTCTATTCACAGTCCCTCAAATCCACACCTGGTATCGATGTGTTTGCCCGTATATGTGCTTATTTAGCTAAAATAATTGCATACATTATGGCACCATCCTTAGAGTATGGCAGGTATTAAATAATGTTTTGTGCATTGAAAAACAGGACCTGTTTTGGCTTTGCAATTATCTTGAATGACAAATGGATTTCAGTAAACCACAGCATAATTTATTTTCATCATTATCAATCGGTGATCTTTATCTGTTTTTTTAGAATAGATCTTTATCCTGTGACTAAAAAGCCTGACGCAACCACCGTAGGACCATGATATTCTGTTCGACAAATTCTTCCTTCAGTGTTTAACAGAATAATACTGTCACCAATTAAACGGTATCGGCCAGGACTCTCACGTTGCACCTTTTTAGAGATTTAGAGCCTGTGCATATGACCTTATTTACTGCATTCTTCAAGCATGTACAGTAATTGTTTAAATTGTTTGAGGACAAGGAAATCCGTGTAACGTGTATGCTTAAGAATTGAGCCAATACAGGAAGTGTCATGGTTCCTGTTGTGAAGAGGTGTGGAGCTTCTCCCTGCTGGCAAGGCTGCACAATATAGTATTTTTCTTCTTCTATATAAAAGGCAATCATAGATTTTAGCACTGTTGAACTGGTTAAACAACATTAGCTATTCCTCTTGAATCCGTAATTAATGAGAGCCTGGTCCCTGTTTCTTTATATTTTATGCAACAATAGAAGTGTAGCGTATCAAAAGAGGGACAAAAGCCGTATTCCAGTGCATAGGTCTTTCGAAATTGTTCATGAATTGAGCTTGTGTTGTATGTAGGCATGTATATGTAATGTCATAAAACAAATACATGTATATTTAATGTATCTGATGGATATTCTTTGCCTTGTGTATCTGATTAAATTTGTATGTGGACCTGGCAGCATTTTTCATCGATGATGGAGATTAAAGGGACATTATAGCACTCAAAACAACTTTAGCTAAATAAAGCAGTTTTGGTGTATAGATAATTCCCCTGCAGTCTCACTGCTCAATTATCTGCCATTTAGGAGTAAAATCACTTTGTGTATGCAGCCCTAGCCACACCTACCCTGTGTTATAAAGGAAGCTTAAACAGTAGAACTTTCTTTACAGGGAGTGTTTAGAAGGGCTGTATACGTCCCGTACACAGCCCTTCTAAACACTTACTGTAAAGAAAGTTCTAATGTTTAAGCTTCCTTTATAGCACAGTCTGTTTAATTTAGAATCATATCCCCTGCACTGTTAATAGATTGTCAGACCTTGCAGGAGCATTCTGTGTGTAATTAAAGTTCAATTTACAGATTAGGTAGTAGTATAAATATCTAGAGCAAGTTAACATCTTATTGAAAATGAAACTTTTTTTTTTTTTTCTTAATTTCACGCAGGCTGCGTGAATCACAGCCAGGGGAGGTGTGGCTAGGGCTATATAAACCAAAACAAAAGTGATTTAAATTAAAAATGCCAAAGCATGAGCAGTGAAACTGTAGTGGCATGATGTATACACCAAAACTACTTCCTTAAGTTAAAGTTGTTTTGGTGACTCTAATGTCTTGTTAAATGATTTGGCACTGGCACTAGATAAAAGGGGGCACTTCTAAAAGGAAGCAAGATTTACATCTGCGAGACCTAGATGGAGAAGTACGTGGAGCTAAAGAGTAGTACGTCAGCAAAAGTAGTCAAGAGGTGTGTAAAATATATATTAAAAAGAGTTGATATAAAATAATAAATAAAACATTGACTGTACTTGGTCTGCTCCTTTCCCATGCCATAAATCACACTGACAGGCTTTGTGTACTTGTTAAAAAAAAAAAAAAAAAATGTGGACTACCCAGTAAGTATTACATTTCTTCTGACCATCCGATGCGCAAGGCATTCTCTGTACACAATACAACTTAAAATTCCTTCTCCTTTATAAAGGGGAATCTCTTTTAAATGTCTAAAAACAATTTGTATTTTTGTACACTTTATAGAGAACCCAATTTGAGTTTTAAATCTTGGCTTTCTGTGTAACTTGTCTTGCGTTTGGCACGACCCGGGAACTCGGAGAAGGCTCCTCAAATAAGGATCCAAAAGCCTGCAAGTTTCAAAACCCAGAATAAACAAGATCGTGATAAATCGGAAGCAGCGTTATTTTACTGAATTCTTGTGTTGGGAATGTCCTTGCTATGTTCAAAACGTGGGATAGAATTTGTTTTTAATAAAATGTGATTGAGCACATTATGTTCAACTTCCTTCATGTAGAAACCCATGCAGTCACATCATTTATATTTGTCATGAAACGGCTAAAAACCAAATGATAAGCAGGAAGATCAAACTAAAAAAGGGGAAAGAAATGCAAATAAATATGACCGTTCCCAAAACCTAATATAGTATTTAGTTTTTTTTCCTCTGCGTAACAGTCTAGACTCAGATTGTAATACATTAGGCACATGTCGGGTAGGATACTAACTGAACCTCTTATATTTTTTTTCTTCTTATTGACGCACCCAGTTTTCTCAAATTTAAAGGGGCACCATAGTCACCAGAGCAACTACAGATTAATGTAGTTGTTCTGGTGTGTACAGTTAGTCCCTGCAGGCTTTTTGCAGTAAACACAGTTGTTTTTTTCCCTGAGAAAAGGCAGTGTTTACATTAGCCCCTAAATGGTGGTTTTAACACTGTAGGGTCAATAATACGTGTTTGTGTTCCTGAACCTATAGTGTTCCTTTAATATTTACTGAATATTATGTTCTATGGCTGTCTCTGATGAATTGACCGACCTGGCACAATATAATCTTTTTCATGTACACCCTTGCTATCCTGTAATCAACAGTGATCGTGAGGTTGATTGCACAATCTAATAGCATTGTGTTTATTATTATAGCCGCAATGTATGCTTCTCCCTTGTCCCCAGTTTGGCATTCAGTACCTCTGAACCCCATGTAGTCCACTTTCATAGCAACTCTTTACATCCTTTGGTCCATGAAGCTTCCTGTATTGAGGGCGCTATCATGACAAGACAGGAATATACATTTTGTTTCGGCTGCACTGCATCTCTTCTTAAAATATCTTTGCACTTTTAAACAAAATATAGACCGTTGCATTACATGAGCAGATAATTGGCCCATATCTCATAGGAAGCTCACAATCCAAAAGGAGGTCAACAAAGTTTGATGAAGTTTTAGATCTTCAGATAGCTTAGTGGTTTAATTCTTAAGTATAGGTCTCATGTATCCAGAAATTACACCTCAGTCCAGAAGGCCAAGATCTATCATAAGGCAGTGCACCACCCAAGAACATTAATGTCCTGCCTAGAGGGAGATTGTGGTTTTGGAAAGTGAAATTTATATTTCATTTGAATCTAAAAGCACATCTGCATATTTTTGAATCAACAATATATTTTATTAATAAACTGTAAGAATAGAGATCATTTTTCTTTTTAGGAGAAAGTCTTTGTCTCAAAGCTTAAACGGAATATATCAAGGGTAAACCATGTTTTAGCATACCTTGAAGCAGCATGTGGCAAGGAAACAGGCAAGCATGAAAAGGGGAGTTTAAAGCAGACATGTAATCAGTGTATCTTTTGAATTTATAGCAGAATTGTAGGTGATATGACCATTTAAATAAATTCAAACAGTGTAGTTCGGTATCACTCTTTCTCACTTAGTTCTCTCTCTTATATCACTTTTCCCCCCCAAACAGTTACAAACAAGAAGCCTCCCCAGGTTTATGTCACCAAGGTGAAACAGTTTGAAGGATCATCCAGTTTTGTAAGAAGGTCTCAGTGGACTCTGGATCAATTGAGACAGGTTAATGGCATCGACCCAAATAAGGTGAGTTGAAAATCGAGACTATGTTGGCTGGGATTGTCCATGTCCAAAGCCGAAAATAATTGAAGAGAATGGAGCCACTAAAGGTCTTGCAGCATTATTCCTCATGTAAAAAGTATTTAAGATTTCAAATGCTCTATTTCAAAATATGTTAAAATGTAGAGAAGAAAACCATTTATAGTACATCCAACACATTTTGATCTCATTGGTGGTCTAATTTGGTATTCCGCCCTACATGACTGATCTAAGAAACCCTTCCTGACATCTCTACCCATAATGATATAATAACCATGATTGAAGATTCTCAGCTCTCTCAGAATACCTGGCATACAACAGGTAACTTTGCCTTCAGATGTAATCTTATAATAGCATGCATTACACATGGTCTGTGCTCCAATCGGGTTCGGGAGACTAAGCTTTTGGATGCTAACTTGTTTAGAATTCTTCCAAATGTATTTGGGCGTATTTTAGAGTTGGAGCATATTATTTGGATTAATTAGCTTAAAGGGCGTGTACAGTCCCTACAGAACACGTACTGATTAAGAAACATTGAATTATTTTATCATTACAGTTGTGTTGAATAATCTTTTAGTTATTTAAAAAGAAAGAAATGAGCTGGATGGTAAAGTCATGTTTTTTTTTGTTTTTTTGTTTTTAACGTGCTGTAGAATACAAAGAGCAAGTGTTCTTACAATAATCTTGTACAATACCACATGTGCATACAATACAATGAATAATTATATTTGATCACAGAGCTTGGCTGCCTCCAGTGTTGTAGTCCCGTGCATAGATGTGGAACAAAGCTGTCTTCTGTCTGAAGTCACATGCAAAACCATCCCACAGACTGCAGTCATTTTTATATCTGCCATTCTTGTATTTTAAGCTGTCCTACAGAATGGATTAATATATTTATTATTATTGTTAACATCAAATATGGTATTCTTTTAACTTATTACTTGTATGTTTTTTTTTTTATTATTATTGTGCGTAAAGAGAACTGACTTTTATTTATTTTTATATATATATATATATATATATATATTGTATAATTCTTTTTACCTCATTAACTACCAACGCAAATTCAGCCAATTTCAATTTTACACAGCCTCACAGAGCTGCCTAAATTCATCTCATGTATTCTGCTTACTGTATTTGGTCCTCACAAGGCCATATTGACTTATCATATGCATTTCGGCTAGTCACCCTGGTTTTTAATGTTTTCTTTATGGCTGCACTCTTGGTATTCAGGCATGCATTCTCCGTACACAATACAACTTAAAATTCCTTCTCCTTTATAAAGGGGAATCTCTTTTAAATGTCTAAAAACAAACAAATCAAACCTCAAACTCATTAACTCATAAAATATATATCATATACATTCATGCATTTCAGTTAGTCAACCTACATTTTAATGTATTCTTTGTCTGCCCTCTTGGTATTCCAGTACTCAATGGGCATACATTGTTTAGTAATTGGAAAAATAAGATATACCTAAACACATAAACAGAGAAAGAAAAACTTCATAGGGAAATAACATTGACTAACAGTTGGCCCCTTGTTTAAATGTTACTCACATATGTTGCATACATTTAAACATGAATGTTTTTATATGTCTTCATTATTCTGTACTCTACAATTAACGAGGACTTATTAAGTTAATCCTGTGAAGGAAAAACGAGGTGGAACGCCTATGTGTTTCAGCCGCATATCACCGCAGTCAGCAACAACTACACAAGAAGTTAGAACACTTCCTGATCGGTGAAACGCACGTGCGTTCCACGGACGTCCGCCGGAACCCCATATAAGGAAGAGAGCCAACGAACAATTGGAAACAAGTGAATTGAGACAAGCGGATTGGTTAAGTGGATTCAGACACCTGTAGGAGGGACTTTTAAATACAGCTACGGTCCTCAGAGTTACTCAGGCACTTTATCTGCATATTATTTCATTTTTTACTCCTGATGAAGTCTAACTTAATAGACGAAACGCGTAGAGTTTATATATTTTTTAATTGTTTTATATACATCTGTATTCTTGCCTACCACTTCTATGAAGAACCCTTCACTTTTCATCAAAGAGATTGGGAACACATAACTATATTGATGGGCTTTTTAACTACTTATACACTGTAAGTGCATTCATTAAAGCGTGTGATTTTAATTCATATCAGCGCTGTACTATGTTAATTATTTTTTTCATGCATCACTGGATATCTGAACGAGGATGAACCTGTGAGAGTCCATACATGATTGATGAGCCTGAATATCTCTCCAATTTTGTGAGTGTAACATTTAAACAAGGGGCCAACTGTTAATCAATGTTATTTCCCCAAGAGTTTTTTCTTTCTCTGTTTGTGTTTAGGTATATCTTATTTTTCCATGTACATTGAGGATTGAGAGGAATCCTTTGTTACCAAATCAAAAGGAAGTAATTATCTTTTTACATTCATTGTATATATGCTGCACCTGGGTGGTCTAATTCAGTTTAAAAAAAAAAATTAAAAAAATTGTTTATTAGGGATCAACCGATATTGATTTTTTTAGATAATTTGTGAACTTTCAGGCCGATAGCTTACCGATATTCTGTACATTTACCGTATTATTTTTTTAAGCAAATCTTTTCTTTATTAAGTGGTAAATGCACAAAATATGCATGTCAATCAGATTTTTTTTTTTGTAATGTGTAAATACGTGCGGTCGGAACTCCCCGTGCACCCCTTACCTATCTTAGTGCCCCACTCATTCCCCTTAATGTTCCTCTCATTTCTCTTTTAGTGGTACCCCCCTACACCAGTGTTCCTTTTCCCTTTACTCCCCTATACCTTAGTGTCCTCATTTTTTTTTTTTTTTTTTGTCCAGGTGAGCATAAGGCAAAATCAAACTCCACAACAGCTTACACATATACAGAAATGTAGATACTTGGGCTAAACATTAGCACATTTTTGTGTTATTGGAACATTTTTAACTAGTATGACATGTCTCAGATGTGAGTAGCTTGGTTATCCAGATTAGCAAGACATGCGTACATTACAATAGCGAGTTAATTTAAGTAAAACATGCAGGTGACACGTGAGAGCCCTAGTCTAATAGCATGGCAGTAATTTGCATAATAATTATAACGTGTGTACATGCGTTTAGGTGCAGAGAAAATGCTAGGCTTTCTGAGCTTATTAGGCAACATTAAACCATAACATGCTACGGTCAACGTTTAACCATTTATCTGACCGATCATACATGAGTTAGATTAATATGTCGGCTTCAGGGTGAAGCCTACTTGGAATAATCTCAGGTTGAGCATACTGACATTGGAGATGATTAGTAGGAAAAGTAGTAATTGAACACGTAAACTGACATTAAAATTAAGCATCCAGATATGTATTATCTCGTATTTGGGTCATATGTGTACCATAAGAGTAAAACCCCCCACTGACCCCTGGAGTAGCGGGTGTATGTGTCTAGTTGTTGAGGCCTGGTGGGTATAGTTGCGTGGGGTAAGCCTCTACACAGTTGTAGATCTGCAGACGTATGTGTGGTGGACCTTTTAAGAGTGTGTGTGTAGTGTGCATCTGTGTTGGAGGCAGCAGTCCCAGAGTCTGTGTGACTGCCCCGTTATCGAGTCCGTCAGCCTATGCCCTGCGGGGTCTTGTAGGCTTTCTGTGATGGTGCGGGCTTCGATCCCTGTGGTCCGGTAGTGTGGGAGAGGAGTGTCTCAGTGCGGTTAGGTGGCACTCTTGGTAGGAAAAGTATAGTCCTGGTTGTGGGTCCCACCTTTTGGTGTAGTTGTTGGCTGTGGCTGTAACTGTGTAGTCTGTCTGCCGCTGCTGCCATTTTAGGCCTCTTTCTTGTTCGATTATGTTGGTCTTTGCTCCTCTTGTGCTGGGTCGCTGCTGGTAGGCAAGGCGGTTTTTGGCGCTGCATTGTGGGAATCTCTTTGGCTATTATTGCCTTTGTCTGGCTGCGTCTGCCCTTAGTATGGCATCTGTTGCCGGGGTGACCCTTCTCATTTGCTTGCTCAGCCTGGGGTGGGAGTCTGAGGAGTGTGCCGTGTCCCGCGTCCTGTGACGGGCCATCGGCAGGTTCTCTGATTCTGGGGGCCATGTGAGTATCTCCAGCTTCTCCCAGAAGGAGCAGAATATGCCGTTAAGTCAGAGCTCCATGTCCCTCCAGGCTTTGCATAGAACTGCGGCGTGTGTGCCGTACGCCATTTTGTAGGCCTCACTAGTGACCTCCAGACTGCATGATCGGTTCGCCCGATTACCTCTTGTCGGGGGATCATGTGGGGTGGTCCGCCTCTTGCCGGTCACTCCAATCTACTGCCCAAACTTGGGCCTATACATGTTTCCATAATAAATTTATGACCTGTCCAAATTTGGTTAGTCTTTATGGTACTGCCTTTATGATGATCTGTCTTATTTCACGGTCCGTCACCGCTTACATTGTCTTAGTCCTTTCTGGGCAAAGGCCACACAGGCTTAGTGCATTGTATTTTAAAATTGACGGGCATAATTCTAATATAATATAATTATATCTGTTAACTACTGTATGCACGTACGCTGGTTCTAGTGGTCATACGCTAATTTGCAGTTTGTTTAAATTATTATTTTATTTATATAGCGCCAGCAACTTCTAACATATGGTGCAGGCATTTGATAACTGAATGAAATGTGTTTTATTTTTATTTTTATTTTATTGCTGGCCACATCCAGCCCACATTCAGCTGCTCATGCACATCAAACTTTACAAAACTTGCATACGTTCACTTCACGTTCTACCACTCGGGTTCCTCATCAGTATTTTAGAAACCGTTCACATCTCTGCAATCTGCAGACAGAATGTTTTCTCTGTTACACAGACTTGTTTCAATTGTGTTCAACCGCATTTCAACTGGCCCAGATATTGTAATTACTTTTATTGTCATATTTATACGCTCCACATGCGTTCAGTTTATTTCATGCAGTCATGTTCATTAAGCAATAAAGTTATAGCTTATGCTAATATTACTGTTATTCTACGATTATTCTAGCATGTGCAGTTGCCTTCAACCTTATTCTTCCAGGCTAATTATAAGTATTTATCATCCTCCTAAGAGTTCCATAAGTATGTAAGTAACCGTTTGTCTTATATCTCATTAAACTCTAATGTATGGTATATGGCCATCAAAGCCACTAAAGCTTTTTCGCCCACTGTTGCATTCTAGAGGCATGGGCCTCAGTTCCAGTTATGAGTCGGTCTGCAGACACCACGATTATTTGGATCAGTGGGTATGTATAATACCAAGTGTAAAAGAGTTTACATGCGGTCTCTATTCTGTTCAACATTTCATACACTTGATATTTATTAGTAACTCTCCCATCTCATCATCAACATGTCATCATCAGTCCTATACAAATGTTCCACAACTACACAACCTTTTTCTGTTTCGCATCCTACCGGTTACCTGCATTAATCACAACACAGATCACGCAGCCATCCTGTAACGCTGAACCCAATCGGGCCTCCCCGCCGGTTTATATGTTTCCTACACGTAGTCCTCACTAAGAATGGTCATGCTTGTTTATATGCCCGGCAATGGGCAACCAACCCTGTCCTATTCCAGCATCTCTTTTGAGTATTTTCCATTACATCTGTCTTACATGGGTTGCATACTGCCCAATTATGCTACATGTTATCAAGAACGCACCTTCAGACCCTCATTAGGCATTGTCCTTGAATAACTGTAATTCCATCATCACCTATATTATCTACTCCTCACATTAAGCACTTCGGTCCAACTGCATCTATTTGGGTGGTTCCATTATCTCCTTGATAGGTCTCAGATTGAAACTGTGCACATAGCTAAAGTTGTAAGTAAATATGATTTATACTGGTCTTGTTTCAGGTCCTAAGCCTTCACACGTGGTCTTACTAGGCCTACATTAAATTCCCATCATATAACCCTCTGTGGGCTGCATTATGACATACCCACCCTTCATGGCTGCCTGGGGATGTGTGTATGTATGTGTGTGTGTATATATATATATATATATATGTATATATATATGTGTGTATATATATATGTGTATGTATGTATATGTGTGTGTGTATATATATATATATATATATATATATGTGTGTGTATATGTGTGTATGTATATGTGTGTGTGTATATATATATATATATATATATATATATATATATGTGTATATATATATATATATATATATATATATATATGTGTGTGTATATGTATGTATATGTGTGTGTGTGTGTGTATGTATATATATAATTTATCCTTCTATATATCCATCCAACAACATTTCATTACATCACTTGGTCTCGCTAGGCTTAAATCAACCAACCTATATGGCCCAATCTCGGCTGACTACACTCACTAGTAAATTTATCCCTTATTCTAAGCATTGTCACTTTATTATTCCACAGTATTAACAAGTATTATGTATCAAGTCACCTACATCAAGACACTACATACTCTTCGGCGTTGGTGACACCGAAGAGTGTGCTTTGACCTTAGATGGCCTACACTAATTTCCTTGTTATTACCCTTATAGCATAACTGATCTTCCTACCATTCCTATAGACCTGACCGTACACAGGTATTACACAACTCCTATACCATGATACAAGTATCCTTAAGTTCTTCATTCCATATATCTATTCCCCTTATACAGCTATATTTCTGTATCCTGCCTCTGAGGACCTATTCTCCAGCTTCACTCTTCCTATACATTTTCCCCTTCTCATATTGTAAAGCGCTGCGGAATTTGACGGTGCTCTATAAATATCATAATAATAATAATATTGGGCCGCTTCGATCTTACACAGTATTTGTAAGTAATAGGTGTTTAGTCACCTCCTTCATGACACTATAAAATATATTTAGTGTTGGTTACATACTCGTCATCATTTGGCATCAGTCTTATATATGGCCCTTCACCACATTCCATGTTGCCACCTTTCAGTCTGACTACTCTTCCTACCTCTACATTTGCACAGGTCTACACATACCTAAATTGTTCACTCCATACATCCGTTACCCTTTTCAGCATTATTTCTCTCTTCTGCAGCTCATGACTTTGGGCAATCTCTGCCTTCCGCTACGGTACCTCTACACACAACCATCACTAACCCTTCACTCCATACGTTATACATGGGCCTCTAGGGACACCGCTGCGACTGTTACTGCACATCAATAGGACACTTAAATACGTTTATAATAATAATAAAAAAAATACAAATCTTCCATTCTACTTCTCAGTATTACACACTGCCTCTTTTGGCCCATGTACGTTCTTTCCTTGCAGCCCTCTCTCTGAACACTCCCTAGAACCTTGGGCCTCTCACGTAGCAGTTAACATATCCTGGCCTCTTCGATCTGTCACTAATTTAACTGTGTTAGCATTATCCTCCTATTTCAGGCTCTTCCTTAATTTGCTTCATGCTAGTACGATAGGCATATGATTTTTATGTGATTGTTGTTTAAATTCTCAGGCTGTTCTTTCTCATACGTAATTCAGTCAGTGAGTCTATTCTTGCTAGGCTTCATGTCATATCGAGTTACGTGCATATCCTTACGTAAAGTCTCTCCATGTCCACTTCTTCCCGTTCGTTGCATATCTGGCACCGATTGTCAGATATGGTCAACTGTGTCTTTGCTATGCTGTTCAATTTCCTTCAGTTGGGTTGACAACTGTTGTCACTAGAGTAATTTGGTGTTCTGAGCTCATAGTACTTATTTTATCTACTTTTCTGGCACAGACTATTGATAAACAATTGTTAAATTTTGGTAATTGTGAACACAAGTTCTCTGGGGGTAATTCTCAGGTTTTGGTTAATTTAATCTCTGTACAAGTATTTCTTTGCCCTTTATTACATATTCACTTATTACTATCAACTTTCATTTATCATCCAGGTATACGTTTATTTAATCAAGTCACTCATGTATTATTTTGTATTTCAAATTTTCTATCACCACGCAAGTGATTTACTTTTATGATAATACCACCCTACGTACAACAACCACTTGCTCTACAGAATGCTATAATTAGTTTGGTCTGGCTGCTAGGGTACCCTGAGTGGCCTGAGTCAGCCAGTACTTGGGTGTTATACAGTATCTCACATTAATACATTGTTTCTCTTTCAGGTATGGTTATAATGTTGATAAATATTTAAGTATTGGTCATGTAATGTCAACATGTAATAAGTTGTAAACTATTAAACTTTTGCACTCTTTTGACAGGCCTACCCGACCGTCGGTTCCCGCACATCACAACCGACTTATGCCACTACTACTATAATTCGGCTTATTGTCCCCAACCACAAATAGAAGGCTGAGCCTGTGGTTGAAGTCTGGCAATGTGGGAGGGGTTAGTTTGCCTATAAATATACAGGCTTCCCCTTCCTCTGTGCTGTTGCTGCCTGGTTCAGCCCACCCACCGCTTGCTTTATCAAACCATTCAATTTGGTTGGCCCTCTTTTTACAGGCCTGCCCAAATGTTGGTTCCCGCACACCACAGGTGACTTATGCCACTACTACTATAACTCGACTTATTGTCCCTGACCACAAATTATATACTCTCTTTTTAAAAATAAATTTGATGTACTTTCATGACAATATATTTAGCTGAATTTGTAACATGACGTAACTCAGAACTGAAATATTTTGCTACTGTTCATTTCATGATTCAAGTTTGAGTTGTTTATTATTTTTTTATTTTGTATTTCCACTACTAGAAATTATTTTCTTTTTCCAGGAGTCTCCAGAATTTGATCTGCAGTTTGATAATGCTTCTGATCAATGGGTTGCAAATTCAGGTTCGGAAAAGTTTACTTTCTTTCAAATACTTCTCCACACATGTCAGCGATACCTCTCTGACGAAAAGCCTGAATTCATCAATTGCCAGTCGAGACTGTTTGCAGGTGAGAACAATTGTTTTAAGATAAAATCATGCAAAATCTTCAATGTTGAGTGTTTTTATTTGTGGAAAATACCAAACTTTTGTTGACAACATTTAGCATTAACAGTTGTAAGAAACTAAATATTTTTTTCTTAACAAGGCAGTTTGGGCTGAATTTTGCTATCCTATCTGTTGTACTATATGTGTATTGCTTTATGGATGTGGTGTTAAAAGAAAAATGTGTGATGAAGATAGAATAAACAGCTGTGCCTACAACAGTTTTTATTTATTGAGGAAGGGTCAAGTTCAAAATCAGCTTACATCTGCTACCAGACTTAGAATGTTTGCATAGTCTGCTCCACACACAGAAAGAATTTCAGCTTGCTGAAGTTCAGTATGTCTGGAGCCTGTCTGATTTGTGACCGTTTGTAAAGGTGCCAAGTTTAATATAGAATTTGGGGCAGAAACACATCCTTGGCTGTCAGTCAGAAAGCCAGGGAGGTTTTCTTGTGCTTCCGTTAGCACCTTGAAGCTATGGAAGTGGCATGTGTGCTGTGCTAGCGTCCACCTGCCTTACCCACTTTGAGCTGTATTCGAAAGCCGTGCTCACAGCTTCAGCACAGCTTCAGAACAGTCTTGTCAATGAGATGCATCTGAGTGGAGGAATTCCTTGCACAGAATCAGTCGTATAGATATGTACATACAAGCACAGAGTCAAACAGTCATACACACACACAGACATTGGCAGACAGTCAAACATACAGACATATACATACAGTTTTGCAGCAGTACCCGTTATGTGGCGAACTTATGACTCGTGTGCCAAATAGGCAGGGCATCTGCGTTTCTGCTGTGGTATGCATACCGTAGGGGATATAGCAAGTATGTATGTAGGGGATGTAATGTGTTTGTTTAGGGAATGTAATGTGTGTGTGTGTTTTACTGAATTTGTTGGGTAGTATAAGAGCTTCATTCTGTGGTTTATGAGAGGGGGAAAGACACACAGGGGAAAACGTTTGGTTGAAGATTTTGCTGCCAAAGGAGGTTCAACCAGTTATTAAATCCAAGGGTTCACATACTTTTTCCACCTGCACTGTGAATGTTTACATAGTGTGTTCAATAAAAACATGGCAACATTTCATTCTTTGTGTATTATTAGTTTAAGCAGACTGTGATTGTCTATTGTTGTGACTTAGATGATGATCAGATCATATTTTATGACCAATTCGTGCAGAATTCCATATCATTCCAAAGGATTCACATACTTTTTCTTGCAACTGTATATATATGTGTGTGTGTGTGTATATATATATATATATATATATATATATAATCAATAAAGGAGCACTCCAAAGGATTGTGAAAAATATTTATAGTCCGGTGTTGAAAAAATCAAATCATCAACGTTTCGACCCAATCTTGATAAAGACCCTATTGGGTCGAAACGTTGATGATTTGATTTTTTCAACACCGGACTATAAATATTTTTCAAAATCCTTTGGAGTGCTCCTTTATTGATTATATACATCAAGTGGCTTGGAAGCACCCGGGTAATTTCTGCATTTTATTTGGATTCAAAGGAAGAGTGCCAGAGTTTGCTTTTGTGTATATATATATATATATATATATATATATATATATATATGTATATGTATGTAGATTGGATTAGTCATACTAGTCCCAACCCATTCACCCCGCCCCCCTTCTCTAACATCAGTTGTTTTAAGTGTTAAAACCCGATCAGATTGATCTGTATTGCTTCAGACCTGAGGAAGACAGTACAGCATTAAGGTCTATGGAGGATCCTGTGAAACCGCAGGATCCTCTATAGACCGAGCCAATTCCCTGCATCTGTTCATGGTGACAGCTATCGGGAATGACTGTCTAGCTCCTCCAGAGTCCAAGAATGTCAGGTGGAGGAAATCTACAGAGACAAAGTAGACACTAAATGTTTTAGGGATATCACAGATCTGGAACAATGAAAGACATATAGACCTGTACACAGTCCGCTTCAGCAGCTTGAATCCTTGCCAAAAAACAGCAAAGCAGTTTTAAGTTTTACTTTAAACTTCAGAAAGGAAAGTGAGAGACAGCTCATGTAATTAAATTCTTCATTTGTCTAGCAGTGAACGGGAAAGTATGAACCCAGTGTTTCAGAAACATAATTGGATATGTTGTTACTGCCATATTACCTGTGTCAACACTAGTGAGGCAGTCATAATAATGGTAGATGTTGCCAGGTAGTGATAAAACATATTGATCTTTATATGTGGGGATATTTGCCATTGTGATTCTCAGGGTTGTTCAATAAGCTCGGGATCTACTGACAAGAGAATTGCAAATCTTTAGACAAAATAGCTGAGCTGGGGGAAAAATGCTTTAATTAAAAAGAAAAAAAAAAGTCCAACTCAGCTATTTTACCCAGCTTGTCTGTTTTCCTCAATTCCCAATCTAATGAATAACCCTGACTGTCTTTAAGAACACATTCGTGGAAAGATATCGAATTATGGCCAAATCATGAATCATTTCAATTCACTAAGATTAAGTAGCAGTTCTGGCTGCATGTGTTCACAGGAATAAGCATTTACTAAAACCGCATTCTACTTTACAAGAAAAAAAGGAGCAGCATTTATTTACGTCTCCTTTTTTTGGGGGGGTTGCAGGCAATAGCATTCTTCACTCTGCCGCCGACAGTGTGACCAGCGCTGTACAGAAAGCAAGCCAAGCCCTTAATGAGCGTGGCGAGCGTCTCGGACGTGCAGAGGAATCAACAGCCGACATGATGAACAGCGCCCAGCAGTTTGCAGACACGGCTCACAAGGTAAGTGAGAAACCTTGCTGACTTAGGCCTTGATTAGATTCCTTGGGATAAGCTTTTGAAATGATCACAGTCTGTTAGAAAAACTTTTTTCCAATTATTGTGATCTACAGATGTCACCATTAACATCTATAGGAATTTTTGAAGATAAATTATTTCAAAGGTTTGTCCTAAAGATTTCAATCGACGCCTTAAATATCAGATCCCCACCGGTCATGTCACAAATTGTTATGATAGCAATATAGTTGAGCCATACATCTTTCTATTAAATATGTGGGGAAAAAAATGTTCTTTTCCTTTCATATTTTATTAATTCAAATAATTTATTTTAAGTTGCAAACATACTTTTTTAGCATTCAATTTAAAAAGGTAAATATACCATATTGTCAAAAGACATACATCTTAGTTATTGAAATCAGGTGTTTTAATCAGACCCATTGCCACAGGTGTATAAAGTCAGGCACATAGTCTGGGTTTGGCAGGTGGCAGGAGAATGTTACCCGTCTGATTGCATTGTACCAACTTTAAAGTTTAGTGGAGAGGGATAATGATTTGGAACGGTTTCTCAGGGGTTGGGCTAGGCTCCTTACTTCCAGTGAAGGAAAACCTTAATGATTCAGCATACCAAAACATTTTGAATAATTCTATGCTTCCAACTTTGTGAGAACAGTTTGGGGAAGGCCCTTTTCTATCTCAGCATGTCTGTTCTCCAGTACACAAAGCAAGGTCCATAAACACATGGTTGGATGAGTTTGGTGTAGAAGAGCTCTACTGGCCCAAACAGAGCCTAACCCCATCGAACACATTTGGGATGAGCTGAAACATTTGGGATGGGCTGAAACAGAGATTGTGAGCCAGACTTTCTCGTCTAACAAAAATGCTCTACAGGATGAATGGGCAAAAATTCACACAGATTATCTGCGACCAACCTATATGTCTAGAAAATCCCGCAAATTTTTTTATTTCCATATAGTTGAATCTACTCACTCTAGATGTATGAACCCAGCCTGATTGTACTACAATATAAAATAAGTGCTATGATCTCACAATGTCACATACATATTATACAGTTATTCTTGTTGTGCCTGTCTCTGCTGTTGGGGCATTGCAGGATTGTTTGTAACCCTCTCTATGCACTACAAAAAGAAAAGAAAAAAAGGAAAGATTATATTCGGTCTTTATAATTTATTTAAGATTAGTGTACAATTCATTTTCCCTTTTTCCCCCCGCCAGAGTGTAAAGAATACATTTTTGTTTTAGGTTTCTCATTCTACTTACACACAGCCCTTTTTTGTTTTAACTTGTAACACTATGTGTTTGTTTATTTACTCTTAGAACTGTGTATGTTGCAGTCAGTGGCATCCAGTAGATTTTGCACCTCTGATTAATCCTTTTTGGAAAAGGACTCGCTTACCTTGTGAGCTTGATGTGTCAAGCAATTAGAAAATAGTGGGCATTATTTGTGATTTTCAATTCGTAATTAATGACTGAGATATTTGGAAAAGATGTGCGTTCAGCAAAGGCTAATGCTAAAACTATATTTTGGCTCTTTTTCCTTGTTTGCTGTATTTTCCAGACTGTCATGCTGTCAACCCCAAGTGCCCTTTAGGACCATTCTCAATTTAGAGAGGAGAGCAGCTGTGTGGTTTGCCATTTATTCTAGTGTGTGTTTTCTTGGGTACATGCCACCGAGCTCCTCGGTCTTTTCATTTTATATTATCTTTCGATAAATTACAACCTTGTAAAGTACGCATAGTATGCTTTCCTACTCTAAATCCTGTTTGTTTTTGTTCCATCTCTCTGCAGCTTGCCATGAAACACAAGTGCTGACCAAATCAGCTAAAAAGTGGCTTCCACTCGTCCGGACTTTCCAATAAAACAAATCAGCACAAGGTTATTTACTGAATATGTATGTCTTTCTTTTAAATGGGACTCCTCTATTGTTTGCCTGCGTGTCTTTCTGCATCTCCCCTGATCTACTGGGAGAGAGATGATTTTCAGCCAACGTAATGTTTCCATCATTTTAAATGGATAAGTTAGAGCTTGTGCTGGACAGAATTCTCTTTGTGCAGCTCCTTGTCTCCTCTTCATTTTTCAGCCTCTTTTGTTCCCGGGGGAGAGGGAGGTTTGAGGGAGTGACTGGAGGGACTGGTCTATCTTGTGCATTGGGATTCCCGCTATAATATTCACTAAAAGTATTTTCTTCGAAAGAGTGCTCTAATGAATCATCGATAAAGTGTAACCCACTGAAAATGGTGTTCATGGAGTGGGCAGGTTGGAGAACTTTTCTCAAAACAATGTGAGTGCTGTGCCTGATGAGAAATGACAGATAAATCTGCACATCAATGGACGATTAGTTTTGGTAACTGCAAGGCATTGAACCGAGTGCTATACTGGATGGAGCAGCCGTTGGTGTATATGGAGCATTTAGATAAAACGTTAGATGGAGTTGACATGACTTAATTTGGGCACAAAACTTTCAGAGATTTTCAACTTTGTTATTGCAAGACTGTCTTGAAAATTGAGCTACGAGTGCCTACTTATGGTTTGTGTTCCCGTTCCACGCACATCAGGAAAAAAAGTTTTTTGTTTTTTTTTTTTCTCTGTACTTTTACATTTTATTAATGTCCTGTTTTGAACGAACATGTCCATCATACACACCTTCATGCCAGCGTCCTTATGAGGGATAAGCATATTTTTAATGTTTCCATGTGATTTTATTTTTACCAGTATATCGCATATTAATACCCCAAGCAATAAAAAAAAAAAGATGGCTTATAAGGACAGAACACACAAAACAAGTTTGTTTCCTTAAGGAGATAACAACAATAAAAAAAAGTAAAAATACAATTTTGTTTGTGCCTTTATTATGTTTTAATCGTGTATTGTTCATATTATTGAACATTGTTTGAGCTTTACTATGAATTGATAAAGGATAGATAGACAAATTACAACAGTGCGATTTAGCGTAAACCTATATTGTGAACTTTTGTGAAATACCTAGTTGCTAATGCTGTAGTTATGGGTCTGATTAGACGACTTCCGCCATTATTGGTGTTCCACTAAATATGAGTGATAGTCAGCATGAATCGGACCTGTGAATTTAAGCAGACCACACTACTCCACAAAAAATATTAGGTGCTTGTTTGGTTAATGTGCAGATGAAACTGTGATTTTTAGTTTGTATACTATACCATAAAAACCAAAGGAAAAAAAGTTACCTGCGCACTCTCTCCTTAATCCCTATGTATATCTAAACAAATGGAGGTCATTTAGTTACTCCAATGGCCACTGGAGGGAATGCCTGCCTGCCAACGTCAAGGCAGACCACCCCTAGACGGGTCCTACACTGACCCGTTACCTTGCTTCCTTGAGCTTCTCCATTTGTTTAAATATACATAGGGATTAAGGAGAGCGCGCAGGTAACTTTTTTCCTTTTGGTTTTTACTATATGTATTAGCTGATGTGTACTGTAGTCATTGCAGCCGCCCAGGAGTGATGGAGTGAGCGCAGGACTTTTCTTTTTGTATTTGTATACTATACCATACCATACCTGTTGTCGTAGTGAGGCAACTGGGCATGTAAATTAGGGAATTCGGGGCAGCTTCTCCCACAAAATCATGGGGAAAATATGAAATTCATAGCTACTCTTAAAGGGGATCTGTCACTTTTTGTTTTAATGCTGGCATGTTCCAACCCTCCCTTGCCTCATTTTTTTTTCTTTTGCGCTAATTATGCTTTATTTATTATTTAATTTTTTTTAGTAGGCACTAGTTTTCCTCATGTATAACATGAAGGTTGCCAAAGGAAATGACTGTACTCACCAGAACAACTACATCAAAGGTGAGCTGTAGTGCTAGGAAAACAGTTGTTTTTCTAACCATATAGTGCCCCCTCACTCATGGTTATAACGGGGTTAAAAACCTTTAAAAATCGCTTACCTGACTCCCTTGGTGCTGGTTCAGGCTCCTCATCCACCTACATCAGCCATTGGGGGGGATCTATTGTGCTGCGCTCGCATTTGGGTGACGTTGGATGTTCTCATGCAGAGAGTGAGAACGTCCAGTGTCAGCCGATCAAAATTCGCCTAACCACCCGGGAGTCCATCTGGTGGCTACCTGGCAGACAACCGCTAGAGGTGGAGTTAACCCTCCAAGGTAATTACTACAGTTTTTAAAAAACTGCCATAATTACAATTCCAGGGTTAAGGGGCTGGGAATGCTGCACCCAGATAACTTCAATTAGCTGAAGTAGTCTGGGTGCCTATAATTTCCCTTTAAGCGGTAGTTGTCTACAGTGTCCCTTTACTATCCAATACAGGTGTTGTGAACTACGTCTACCCCAATGCTTTGCCAGCATTATGGCTGTAAGAGCATTCTAGATGAAGTCCACAACATCTGGAGTCAAGAAGGTTTCCTAACCCTGTAAAAACTATTTAAACTGATAAACTCCATAATTGAATCATGTAAAATTACACAACACTACAAACTTTACATTAACTAATGTTGAGTATAGTGTCTCTTAACATAATAATTTTCTTTTATGTAGGTTGATTTTCCTTGGTAAACTTCGCCATCTGAAAACATAACCTAAAAAAACAGTTTTCACACATAACAATAATTATCCACTGTGTCAATGGTCTTAGTCGAGGAGTCAGTTGCCCACGAGGTGTAAAGGGGACTACGGTGGTCGCGTCCCAGGTGTGGGTGCGTTGTCTGTGTCCAGAGTCTTTTGCAGGTACTGCCAGACCCAGAGTGCTGAGCAGGGTCAAAGCTTCTTCAGTGGATATTTTAGGTGTTGTCTCGTTGTGATTAACCAGAAGGGATCTCGATGATGTCCACCTGTATGTCACTCCAGCAGTTCTCAATATTGTTGTTGCTGGGCATAGTGATTTCCGCCAGAGCAGAGTAGGTCGTGAGAGGTCTTGGAAAAACGTGAGGGCAGCTCCTTCAAAAGAGTAGGGTGTCTTCCTTTGCAGTGCTGTAAAAAGTGATATTTTGTCGCTTTAGAGGGATTATCTGATAACATCTCTCATAGCTGTAGGTGGTGCTCTAGGCGACTTTGGGAGACGATTCCACGAAGTGAAAGCTTCTTGGCTTGGTTGGGGGCAACAGAGTTGTTGCTAGGCGCCTGATGTAGTGTGGGAGTTCTTCCATTGGTATTGCGTCTGGCACTCCCCATATCTTTAAGTTATTACTCCTGGTGTGATCATCTAGCGCAGCTAGTTGTGTGGCAAATGCATGGTGGGTACTTTGAACAGTGTACTGAGTCTCTCAGTACAGTAATGTCTTGCCTTATGTCTGTGATGTCCTCCTGCGTGGCACGGACTCTGTCTGTGGTAAACTTAGCCCTAACCAACTTCATATCAGCTACCAACAGCTTCTTTATATTAGTCAGTAGATCCTTGATGTCCTGCTTGGTGGCCAGAGTAGACACGTCGGGATAGCCTGGAGCAGGTAAGGCTGATGTCTGTGGAAAAGGCTGTAGTGGAGGGTCACCGTGATTGGTAGGTAGATGTTCAGCATGGGCTTCTGGGCTTCACTCTCCTCCGCGGCCACCATCTTGGATTTGGCCTGTCGCTGGAACAGGGTCCCTATATCCCTCGAATCTTGAGGTGTGCCAGGAGGTGGTTTCTGGGATCTCCTCCCCATGTTTGTGTGCAGGTCTGCTGCTTCGGGACTCGTGGCTAGGTATTGGTTCGGTGCGTGAGAGTACAGCATGGAGTTCTGTGGAGGATCCCACGAGTCCAAGAGATCCTCTATAGACAAAACCAATTCCCTGCAGTCGTAACTGATGATGGCTACAAGGATCGAGACTTGGGCTCCACCTTGTGTCAAGAAAAAGCAAGCAGAAAAAAATAGGGATCGACCGATATTGATTTTTTAGAGCCGATACCGATAATCTGCGAACTTTCAGGCCGATAGCCGATATCTTGCCGATATTCTGTACATTTACTATTTTGAATAAATAAACTAATTCGAAAGGTAAATGCACAAAATATACATGCCACATGTAGTGGATGAAGTGTGTTTAGACAGGGGAACTGTGTGTGTTTGTGTAGTGTGTGTGTGTGTGTGTAGTGGATGCAGAGTGTGTGTGTATATATGCAGTGTGTTTTTGTGTGTGTATGTAATGCAGTGTGTGTGTGTTTGTGTAGTGTGTATGTATGTAATGCAGTGTGTGTTTGTGTAGTGTGTATGTAATGCAGTGTGTGTCTCTGTGTAGTGTGTATGTAATGCAGTATGTGTACTGTGTTTGTGTAGTGTGTATGTAATGCAGTGTGTGTGCAGTGTAGTGTGTGCAGTGTGTGTCTGTAATGCAGTATGTGTGCAGTGTGTGTTTGTGTAGTGTGTGTTTGTGTAGTGTGTATGTAATGCAGTGTGTGTGCCTGTGTAGTGTGTGTGTATGTAATGCAGTATGTGTACTGTGTTTGTGTAGTGTGTATGTAATGCAGTGTGTGTGTAATGCAGTGTGTGTGCAGTGTAGTGTGTGCAGTGTGTGTCTGTAATGCAGTATGTGTGCAGTGTGTGTTTGTGGTGTGTGTGTAGTGTCTGTCTGTGTAGTGTGTGTATGTAATGCAGTGTGTGTGCCTGTGTAGTGTGTATGTAATGCAGTGTGTGTGTATGTAATGCAGTATGTGTGCAGTGTGTGTTTGTGTAGTGTGTGTTGTGTAGTGATGTAATTTGTGTAATTTTTTATTTTAATATTTTTTTTAATATTTAAATGTTTTTTTTTGTTTAGTCCCCCCCAGTGTGTGTTTGTGTAGTGTGTGTTTGTGTAGTGTGTATGTAATGCAGTATGTGTGTGTGTGTGTGTGTGTAGTGATGTAATTTGTGTAATTTTTTATTTTAATATTTTTTTTAAATGTTTTTTTTATTTTTTGTTTAGTCCCCCCTCCCTGCTTCTTACCAGGGAGGGGGATATAGTATCCCCTGGTGGTCCAGTGGCTTGTTAAGTACAGTGGTGGCTCAGCAGCAGCAAGCGCTGACTTACCTTGCAAGCAGCTCCTACAGCTCCCTATGTAAATCTCGCGGCTCTTAGTGCCGCGCGGAGCGTTGCCATGGTAACCCGTGGCAACGCTCTGCGGCCGCGGGTCTCGCGAGATTTACACAGAGAGCTGTAGCAGCTGCATGCAAGGTAAGTCAGCGCTTGCTGCTGGCCCCCACAGGACCGCCGGGCTTGTAATGGGCCCGGCGGTCCTGTTATATATTATCGGCAATATCGGTATCTGAATTGGCCGATACCGATATTGCCGAAAATACCAAATATCGGCCGATAATATCGATCCCTAGAAAAAAATATAAGTAGTAAGAGATAAGTAGTCTCTACTTTGTATCTGTATATATCTTTACTGGATTGGTATTTCTGTGAAATTCCAACACAGTCATAATGAGTATTTCATAAAAATGCCATCTTTATGAAATACTCCTTTTTAATATGGGGATGACAGGTCCACTTTAATTCCAGAAGTACAGGTAGAGCAGACAACTTGGCAGAGAGGAGAGAATAGAAGGGAAAGAAAAGGTTTTACAGTTTTATCGGTTAAGATTACATCAGAATACCATCCATCCTATTTTGTCCTTTTATATAATCATTCTATTCTTTTTATTCTAGTTTCCTCATATGTATAAATTATGCACGAGCCTCCTTGTGACTAGATTCATTGTTTCCAGCATAAATGTGGATATTGTTCAACAATGGAAAGCCTGTTGTGTGGACAAGCTCCATGGGGTGACTGACATAATGGCAAAAAAATGACAAACATTTGTTTGGACATTTGCTCATGTTAATAGATCACAGTTGTTCAGGTGAAAATGGGCTGCATTGTTTTGGAGGTCAAATGTTATCTA